CGATGCTCAATGAAAATGTGCAAGTTACATATGCTCATCTGGTACTGATCTTATGCATTTTTTAAAGTGTTGTTTTACATTAGATTCACATATTGAAATTCATAGGAGTTGATTATATATAAATATAATTTAATAAGTTTTCATAAAAGAAAAAACAACCAAAAGAAAGTGAATTAGAAGTTATGAAACAGAGATCACGATTATGAATATTAGACTCCTAATACTCAACATGATAGGTCTGATGCTCATTAAAAGTTCATGCATACTCATTCACCAGAATCCGTGATTTTCATATAAAAAACGGATGTTTGATACTCAATTAAAATGTTGTGATGCTCAACTAACAAACCTAACGATTTTCATATCAATGCGCACTTTGTAAGTTATGTATGCTCATTTGGTACTGATGTTGTGCTCATTTTTAAAATATCATATCAATGTATATTTCAAAAGTACCGTATTACATTAGACTCGCATATTAAAATTAATAGTAGTGAATTATAGATATAATTTAATAAGTATTTATAAAAGTAAAAATAAAATAAAAAAGAAAAAGAATTAGAAAATATGAAGCAAAGTTCGTGATATTCATTGTTAGCCTCATAATACTCAATACAATAGGTCAGATGCTCACTAAAAGAACATTATTGCTCATTTGGCGAGAACCGTGATTTTTTGCTTAAATTACAAAAATGCTACCGAAAACAATTAGGCTGTTTCAATTAAATGGACTGTCTTTCTTAATTGATCCTTTTTGTGGGCCTTTGTTGGCTTCATTAAATTTTATTGAAATTGAGTTATTGAAATTGGGTTGAAACTTGAACATAATTATGAATAAACCTGGATGTTCCGTTCTCACCCATACACCAGGGTGTATAATATACGAACGGTAGATTTTTACCCTTATGTGTTATGCTGCTTTTTTTTTTGTTCATTTCTGAGAACAATTGAAAATGTAACAAATATTTAATTAAAAGATCTCGAAAAATGGAATGGAAGACATCGAGGATGTGGACTGAGGTGAGGGCTATCTGATTCTGGCCGAGAAGGTTGTGGGCGAGGAAGCGATCCTTAGCAGGAGATTACGAGCGAAGGAAGACGAAGAGGTGGTTATCCGCCCCCCTCCCGAGCCGCCGCCATGGAGGAAGTGTGTGAATAAGGTTTGGACGATCTTTTCTATTTCCGTTTTACTTTGTTTGCGTTTTTAATTCGAATTACTTGTTGTTTTGTGCGTCATGTTCGCTTACTTTTGCCAGACTTTTACATTAGTTGGGAGAGATGGGAGTTTTGCTTTGGACACGATAGGCTCATTTAGACCCGTTATAGGATTAGCGAATCACATTGATCTGTCTAGGGTGACTGGTTCTCAGGCTGGTCCGAGGGTCAGTGGCTGGAAGTGTTCCCTTTATCTCTCTTGTCCATTGCTGAATGTTTCTTTATCAATATAAGCCGCCTTTTTCCAAAAAAAAAAGGAGATCTGGAAAAACATACTTTCAATTGAAGCTAATAATCAATATATATATATATATATATATATATAAGAGGAACTTTTTAAGAGCATACGACACGCCACATAATCATGCCATGTCATCATATATTACAATTATTTAATTACTATTTATACATTTTATTGTTTTTTATTACATTCTATTTCTATTGCATATTGATATGGAAACAAAAGATCGTATGATAGAATCCACCTTATTTGGTAACTTTTTCAGAATCTACTACTTACTCTGTATTAATATGGATATTTATTAAAATATATATAAAAGAGGAATTTTAAGAGCATCTGGCGTGCCACATAATCCTGCCATGTCATCATATATAACAATTATTTTATTACTATTTATACCTTTTTTAATTACATTCTATTTTTTATTACATATTGATATGGAAACAAAAGACCGTCGTGTATGATAAAATCCACCTTATTTGGTAACTTTTTCAGAATCTATTACTTACTCCGTAGTAATATGGATTGTTATTAAAATAAGCAATTATTGCAACCACAACAATAAATAGTCATCCGTGCACATAGACTTTATTTAATTTAATTATTTTTATACATTTATTTTTATTACATTCTATTGAGAAGTGAATTATCCGTGTTTTGCGCACCTCACAAATAAATCATCCAAGTTCCTATCAATTTTGTTCTTCAAAGTTATTTTTTAAATAAAGTAATAATAGTGTTCCATTTCCTAAAAAGTACGGAGTAATATTTTATTTTTTTAAACTCAATTTTTTGAATGTTTTCTAAACTCAATGTGATAATGACTAAAGTTATCAGACTTATATTTGCAATTGTGTTAATACTTCGTATTTTTCTGCATCGTCATACCATTCTTTCTTAATTGTTGGGATAATGATGAAAATTATAACCACAAGATTTTTTAACTTAAAAATGAAATTGATATATACTATTAGACATTCATATATGAAAACATTTAAAACTTCTGATCAAGTATCTTACCTTTATGAGGATGGAAATAAAAATTCATATCATACATATATGAATACGTTTAACGCAGCAAAAAAAGTAAACATGTTTAGTTGTTTCTTTATTTTTATAACTACAATTTAGATTTTCCTTCACTTTTGACATAGATTCCTAATCTAAATTAGGAAATCTTCATACATTTAGGGTGTTTTTAATTGGACTGGTTTCAGTCTTAGACAAGATCGGATCAAATATCAATCATAATAATAATAATTATTATTATTATTATTATCATTATTATTATTATTATACATAAAATAGATATCTTCCAGACCAAGTTAGAAATGAACATGTCAATCTAATTAAAAATATCCTTATTAATGAAATTTTCAATGTGACGAAATAAATGAGTAAATTGTAAAAATGATCCCCTTTTTACATTTCAATGTGACAAAATAATGAGTACAATGTAAGAGCTCACTAATAAATTTACAAATACTTATTTCATACCACATGTTGAATGAGAAATATTTAAAAATAGTTTTTTAGATGCTTAATGACGTAATATAGAGGATGTGAAATTAATTAAGAAAATCGGGTTCATAACCATTATGTTTAGTTGAGATGCTTATGTAGAAGTCCAATTTAAATATTTTTCATATAAATTTGAATTACTTTTATTAATTATATATGATTTTGAAAATATCAAATATACAATTAGCTAAATTATTTACCATCCATGCATCGCACAGGCTTGAAAGCTAGTAATAAATAAATTGCATCAAACTTATAAATATTACAAACAAGCTAAGGGCCGCATTGAGGTCCCATAAAAGCTAATCAAATTACCATTTATATAAGTAAATGTGAAATTAAGATTCGATATAGAGCAATCTTCCTACTTCACAAATAAATTAAAATTTTAGTTTTTATAAAATATGCTTATTTAGTTTACATAATAAATGGAATTGAAAAGTTAATACTCCGTACTTTTTAATTGTATCCTCACATTGGCGGATTTCTTTTTTTGAAGCACACATTGGCTGATTTTTAAAACGTTAAAATACTAATCAGCTGTCAAATACTAGTAGCAGAAAACTCAAAGAAAATTTGGGTGAAATAACATTTTCAGAACACTCAAAGCAAACAACGGCTGACACTGGGGTAAACCCTAACTTCTTCTGCAGCTCGGACGATGATGCCACCCTTCTTCAATGGAAGACTTCTGAAGCGACCACGCCCAAAGATGGAACAACGAATCGTGATAAGAGGCAATGTCAGATTCAAAGAGGTGAGGTGGCCTAAAAGATTCATCGGCAAAGCGGCTGACCAGGGACAGCGTAAGTATCACAATTAATTTTCACTGTTCATTACTTTGACTTTATCTATAGTTATTAGTCTTTATCTATAGTGATTATGTATTTATGTACGTTTGTATATTTATTATTTAATGCATGTATATCTATTCCACGGTTGTAGCCTGCCATTCCATAATTACGCATACAGTTAGTTGGCTCGTGATGTACAACTAGTGATAAGATGTAATTCTTATCCTGGGAACTCACACTTGTATATATACACACTCGTGTATCAAATTTTATTCATTATTTTCACATATTTTTTGGCAGGTGCTGCGTGCATTTACTATGCCATTGTTGGCACAATGAATGCACTATTCAGAATAGAATGTGCTCGCTATGGTCATCTCAAGCGTGCACCTCGCGTCTCGGTCCAACATCTGATTGACAGTTTCTTCGAGGAAGATGAAGAAGAAGACATCAATCTGTTTGATGACCTTCTAGTTCCTTTTGGTCTTTTTTCAAAAGAGAGATACCCTTACCGGGATGGAGTCCCAAGGGCAGGGGCGGCCTTAGCATTTTGGAGGCCCGAGGCGGAAAACACTTAACATTTACAAACTATATTAATACAAGCATTGTCCTAAAAAATAAGATAAAATGAATACAAACACAAAATACGAGAAATTAAGCCGTATTTAAAATGTAACACATACATAATAATATTCCGAATAAATTTTTAAAATGTAACACAAAACAAATGCACAAAAAGTATAAATTTTAATACTGTTTTCTCCTTGCTTTTTGAATTTCAAACTTGCCTTTACTTATCAAAGATTGTCTCATACCCAATTTGGTGAAATTTATGTGGTGCTAAATTACTTTATCAATTCAATATCAAATACAGAAACTCACCTTTCTTAAAAACCGTGTTACCTCCTTATAACCCAATATTAGTGGGACGGAGCCACAGAGGTAGAAATTAATAGAAAACGATCAACAACAAAAAAATTAAAAATTAGTCAATTAAAATCTACAATTATAAAATATTAGTGACAAAATAACTAAATAACTAATTCAATTACCATTGTAAACTATTAGTGCAAAACAAAAATTACTACTAATAATAATAACATTAATTATAACAAATAAACAATTACCCAATATTAATAAGTTAATAATTTTAAAAGTGCATACAATGATTAATGGGTGAGACTATTATTATTTCTTAGGCCTAGCAAATAGCAATAGTGTAGAGAAGTGCCAAGTTGAAAAATTCCCAAATCACAATTCACGGCTAATTGCAAAATATCTTGCTAAGTAAAAAGTACTCTGTATTCCTTAGGCGGCCGCACTAGAACTTTGTTTGCTTAGTTTGGATTCCAGAACAGATGAACTCCAAAATCCGGAAGAAGAATACAACCACAAAGGAAGCAAAAAAGCAAAGAATAAAGGTCAATCAGAAATTGGGTCTTACTGTCGTAGATTTGCCAAAGCGGTTTGCAACTCTGCGGTTGCCGGTTGATTAAAACTGAGATGCCCGTTGCTGACTTGCTCCTTCCCGATTTGCAGGTTTCAGTTTAGCCGGATATAATTCCTAATACTAATACTTAGTATTTTTTCTGCGGAGGCCCCATTGGCATGTGAGGCCCAAGGCATTTGCCTTGGCCAACTGCCCCTAAATCCGCTTCTGCCCAAGGGCACCTGTAGACATGGTAAGTAACTATGGCCTTTTGCTGCCTGGTGAATGTTGAACTAGTTTCATATAATTCTATCTTTAGGTAAGTTTAAAATGATTCTATCTTTAGGTAAAAGTAACTATGGTCTATTGTTTATTTTTTTACAGGAGTCTAAAAGGTATAGACTAAGAAGTGCTACTGAACTCATTGGTGAATATTCTCATACTTCTGAAAAAGAAGTTAGAAGAGCCTTGAGACGGAGTGGTCCACTCCTTGCGGGTTTAACCTGCACAGACTCTCTTCAGACCTCATTTGACACACCTGGCGCATTGTATAATGGCACAGGCGAGGTGGAATTGAGGGATGAAGATGGCAATAAGGACAAGGATGTGGGTCACATGATCCTACTTGCTGGTTACGGAACAAAGACCTCATTCAAAAGAAAAAAGGGAAAAAGAAAGTATAAAATAGAAAAGTACTTCATCTATCAGACGTCGTGGGGACCAAAAAGCGGCGGAGAGGGAGATGGCTCAGGAAGAATTGAATTGAGAGCCCTGTCAAATGTGATAAAGCTGGCTGTAAATTGCCCCCATGTTAAGCTTGGGTGGCGGCGTGTCTTAAGAGGGAGACAGAGAGTCTGATCAAAGAGTAAGAGTTAAATGGAGCCCTTTTCCTGGAGATTGTAAACAGTGAGATTGTAAAGCCCTAGATTAGAATTAACTTGGTTTTGCTGGAAAGGGTGTTTTTTGCATATTCATCTTATGTGGCTTAAGTATGCATTCTGGACATATTAGTTTGTAAAGCCCTTTTCCTTTTTCTTATCTCTGATTACTGTGAAGTTTATCTGTATAACTTGCATTTTCTCGTTTCTTTTGTTGCTTTGTTTATAATTTTTCACATCTGGTTCCTCAATTGATTGGAGAGGGTTTTTTCGGAAGACAAAATTTCCCAGCTGAGCATATCTCCATGAATACGGCTGAAGGCGCCACTCACACAAGGGTTTTGCAAAGAAGGTAATCAAATTAAAGTTTCATTTTAGATGGTTGATTTTACATTAACTTATTCCACACATTTGTTTCTCTAAAGGAGTGTTTTTCCATTCATTCTTGAGATATACAAATGGTTCAAACCAAAGCTGCGGTTCACTTTGTTCTTTTCCTTGGCTATGGTTTTTCGAGTGTTCTTAGGTTTTGTGTGTTAGTATTTCTTGGGTTTTGTTGTTTTGGTGGCAAAATAGGTTTCCCCATATGAGCATATCTCTGCTTATACCGTTGCAGATGCCGACTGATGACTAACTTATGAATTTCAGTAAAATCCCGCCCTCTATATGGCTGAAATGGAACAGGTTACAAGTTAAATACCTAAACCAGGGGGTTCATACTTGCTTCATTTCTCACTAAGTGGAGAACTTGTGATGCCTTATTCATTCTTCTGCATATAGGATTGATAAAAAGATGGGGAAAGGAGGATTTGGTCAACTGTATGTGGGCCATCCACACATACAGGGGCTTTTTTTAAAATGTGGATGGTAAAAAGTCCAGGAGCTGTAGAAGTAAGATTCTACGATAATTTTTGCTTTCCCAATTAACAAGTCAGGGGCTTTTTAAAAATGTTGTAATGGGTTAATAATACTTGTTTAGGTAGCTCTAAAATTTGAGCACAAGAGCACGCAAGGATGTAACTATGGACTACCTTCTGAGTGGCAAGCCTGTAAGTATGATTTTTTTTTCCCTGGTTGTTGCTGATTTTATAGTGCTGAAATCAACATCCACTACTATGTTTCTGTGCACTTGGTGGCAATCATGGTAAACCGTCTGTTCATTGTAAAGGCCGCCAAGGTGAGTACTATATTATGGTATATAAAATATCTCAATATGCATATAATCGATTTTAGTTTCAGTTTTTAGCATTTGAGCATGACACGTGTTATTATAATTTCAGGTAATGGATATGGTTGGTCCAAGTTTGCAGGTATTAGTTTTTGTCATATATGCTTTTATGCTTATCATCAGTCACTCAAAAATTGTGTACTCTTTTTGTTCCTGTTTATTCATGTATTCTTATTTCAGTTATTTGTAGTCTTTTTTTAATAGGTTTGTAGTCTTTATTTGTATTCTTATTCTATACTCTGTTCATGTTTATTAGTGCAAGACTTTCTGGGATAAGGATGAGAAGCTATGCATATACATAACTTATGTGTTGTTGGCGTGAATGCTTTTCTTCCCGATCTGCTTTCCCATGCATGGAAATAATTGGGTTGCACTAAAGAGATAACTGGATGAGCATTTGATAATGATAATGATGACATTCATCTTGATAACGTGGGGTTAATTGATGATGCTGACCAAAGAGATTTCAAAGACATGGGTAGTGAGGTTAAATCCTTCTCAACAGAATTATGGACTACCTTCTGAGTGGCAAGCCTGTAAGTATGAATTTTTTTCCCTGGTTGTTGCTGATATTATAGTGCTGAAATCAACATCCACTACTATGTTTCAGTGCATTGGTGGCAATCATGGTTGGGATAAGGATGAGAAGCTATGCATATACATAACTTATGTGTTGTTGGCGTGAATGCTTTTCTTCCCGATCTGCTTTCCCATGCATGGAAATAATTGGGTTGCACTAAAGAGATAACTGGATGAGCATTTGATAATGATAATGATGACATTCATGTTGATAACGTGGGGTTAATTGATGATGCTGGCCAAAGAGATTTCAAAGACATGGGTAGTGAGGTTAAATCCTTCTCAACAGAATTATGGACTACCTTCTGAGTGGCAAGCCTGTAAGTATGATTTTTTTCCCTGGTTGTTGCTGATATTATAGTGCTGAAATCAACATCCACTACTATGTTTCAGTGCATTGTGGCAATCATGGTAAACTGTCTGTTCATTGTAAAGGCCGCCAAGGTGAGTACTATATTATGGTATATAAAACATCTCAATATGCATATAATTGATTTTAGTTTCAGTTTTTAGCGTTTGAGCATGACACGTGTTAATATAATTTCAGGTTATGGATATGCTTGGTCCAAGTTTGCAGGTATTAGTTTTTGTCATATGCTTTTATGCTTATCATCAGTCACTCAAAAATTGTGTACTCTTTTTGTTCCTGTTTATTCATGTATTCTTATTTCAGTTATTTGTAGTCTTTTTTAATAGGTTTGTAGTCTTTATTTGTATTCTTATTCTATACTCTGTTCATGTTTATAAGTGCAAGACTTTCTGGGATAAGGATGAGAAGCTATGCATATACATAACTTATTTGTTGTTGGCGTGAATGCTTTTCTTCCTGATCATGGTAATAATTGGGTTGCCCTAAAGAGATGACTGGATGAGCATTTGATAATGATAATGATGACATTCATCTTGATAACGTGGGGTTAATTGATGATGCTGGCCAAAGAGATTTTAAAGACATGGGTAGTGAGGTTAAATCCTAGAATTATCGTATCCAATTGAAGCTTGAAATATTATTCCCACTTGATTTTCATCAACTTTCTTGATTAGGTCTGTAATCTTTCGGCCAGAATGGGATAGAAAAAATAATAAAATCAATCTCAGCACTAGAAAACTGAAAACAGAAAGAAAATTTTGAACTGGAAAGGATGGAAATACGAATTGAGATAAATAAAATGAGAATATAGCGCTCAGTTCCAAAGGAAACCTAGAAGAGAAACCTTAATTTTTATAAACTAAATATATAGAAGTGCCTATTACCTAGGATATGATGCAAACAAAACTACTCAATCTTTATTTGTATTCTTATTCTATACTCTGTTCATGTTTATAAGTGCAAGACTTTCTGGGATAAGGATGAGAAGCTATGCATATACATAACTTATTTGTTGTTGGCGTGAATGCTTTTCTTCCTGATCATGGTAATAATTGGGTTGCCCTAAAGAGATGACTGGATGAGCATTTGATAATGATAATGATGACATTCATCTTGATAACGTGGGGTTAATTGATGATGCTGGCCAAAGAGATTTTAAAGACATGGGTAGTGAGGTTAAATCCTAGAATTATCGTATCCAATTGAAGCTTGAAATATTATTCCCACTTGATTTTCATCAACTTTCTTGATTAGGTCTGTAATCTTTCGGCCAGAATGGGATAGAAAAAATAATAAAATCAATCTCAGCACTAGAAAACTGAAAACAGAAAGAAAATTTTGAACTGGAAAGGATGGAAATACGAATTGAGATAAATAAAATGAGAATATAGCGCTCAGTTCCAAAGGAAACCTAGAAGAGAAACCTTAATTTTTATAAACTAAATATATAGAAGTGCCTATTACCTAGGATATGATGCAAACAAAACTACTCAATCTTATGTGATGATCTAATCAAAATGGTGCAGATTGGAGAAGATGCGATAACAAAATAAGGAGCGGCCAAGGTGATGATTTGATCCGTGCATCTTGTTAAAGAAATACACATACAATATCGATGATTAAACTCTGAAGATTTGAAGATATGGGAAAACAGGAAAAGGAAATGTAGAGCAGTAGAAAGAAGATGTACTCACATTGTTGCTGATATATATGATGGAATCTCCACATGAAGTTCGTCGATTCTATACCAAAGTCGCTGAGTTTTCCTTATTCAGGAGTAAGATTTTTAAAAAGGAATTTCAACACTGCTTTTCATTTCTGGATTCTTGCATATTAAATTTGTTGAGCATTTCCTTATCTTTTACTCAAGTCAGTATCCTTCCATTCTGCATGGTTACTATAGAATCTATATATATATATAAAAGCAGAATCGTGAGAACCATGAGGCCAAATCTGGCCATTAAAATATTGCACGTGTCATAAGATGGGCAAATACAAATTCCCTCACAACATACACGGTTATTTCCTGACTATTTGCAAAAGCAACCACGTGGCAAGTCCACTATGTCATTTGAAGTGCAATAGTGGGTCGGTTACATCTCCACCTGCACGTCCTTAGCAAGGCTGTTTCATCCCACTCCAACCATTATTTATATGCTGCGACATCAAAGAAATTAAGCTATCAAAAATAGGAGCACACATGGCAGTACACATCTGTATATTTCAACACCTTTCTTTTTATTTCTTAACTTTGAATAAATTTTAGATCATGTAAACAAAAAGACCACGACTTAATAAATTATAATTACCTGGAACATATGTGAAGTAATTCACAAATGGAAATACTGAAAAACGTGTTTTGAACTTCAATTCCATATTTCCTTTCTCAACGTTTGGCTTTTTATACGTTAATTCTTTCATAGCCAATATTTGACATTTCTAACTTACTGTTTCAGTATGTTTTGGAGTTGTGAAGATGTTGAGTATTCAAGAGTTTACTACTTCCACGATAAAATGGACGATACAATTGAGGCAGGTGAGTGGTTGTCCAACATTCAGGAACAACAATGTTGCAAGTACAATGGAGAGCATTCTCAAGATGATGAGATATATGTAAGTATTAGGTTACAAGTTGATTAGATGACTAAATTAATACTACGTTCTAAGGTTTTTATATATTGAGGGGTACAAGTATAAATTTTAAAAAAAAACATTCCTATTACATTGATTACAAGACAACGCCTTTCATGCTCAAAAATCACCTTTGACCATTGGACAACAATGGTTAGATTAATTGATGATTGATTTTCCTACAATAATATAACTTCCAACCATTTCAACTTCAAAATGTCAAGTAAGCTGCTGAAAATGAACTTTTTTGCAAGTAAATGTTTTAACTTTGTATCAATGTAAACACTAATTAAATGTAATTATGCCTTAATTTTGAACATTGCAGTTCTGTTCTACAGCACCTTTACTCGCTGTATATGAGTAGTTTACATATTACAGACTATTTTATTGACTACCTAAACAGTCTTATACAAACAAGGTATTATATTGACTTTTTAAAATGTCACAGAAAAACCAGTTAATAAGTAGATATACATTTATACAAAATTATAGTAATGTTGCTGACGATGATGCATAAAAATCTGATTAACACAGATACAAAACAAATTGTTGTTTTTAATTCTCATATCTCAATAAACTAGAACTAAATCAGTACTACAAAAGTTAAAAATATTTTTTTTCCTTTTATAAAAGCTTATATCATCCCATTTGGTGAACCTACAAAGCATGTCATCGGCCATTATATTTGTGAATGTTTGAGCTGAGGTGATAGGCAAAAATAAGAAATGAGTTCGTAGAAGGATAAAAAGTAGTTTCCATATAAGTATATAATAACACATAACCAAAACTGGAGAGATCCAATGGAAATAGGTATTATATTGTTATAGAAGACAACATATGTAATGTGTATTAATAGAAAAAAAATTAATTAAAGCTGCCAAGCCTACAAGCCACCATATTTCCAGTTACTTTCACGTAACTCACATTTGCTATAATAATTGTTATTGTTATAATTTAGATGCTATATACAGAGTAATAGATTACATTTACAATTCTTTAAAATAAGTAGTTATGTTTATGCTCCGTATAAAGTAAGTCCACAACAGGGTATCTATATTTAAACTCATATACCTAACTATTACATTGAAATGAAGTCTTTAAAGCAACACATAAATATGGAGTATATAACGATACTATTCAGGCTGAAATTAGAGAAACAATTAAGCACAAGACATTTACAAAATATTTCAAATGCATCAGCTTCATTAAGTAAAGGTAATACTGTAACACATGAGTTACTTTTTAAGGAGAAATAGTTAAAAGTGGAAAAAACGTACATATCAGCTGTTTGAGATGAGCTGCGAAGACGGTGGTGACGTTGTGTTCAATATCCCCATGTGCGTAGCTAACGGACCATGGAGAACACCAGCAATTGAACTTTGTTGATCAGAGAAGGTAGAGATGATCAACGCAGCGATTGATTACAGAGAGGGAGCGATGGTTTGGAGAGATCTGGCTTGGCCGACAAAAGAATATTCAGGGAAGTCTAGGGTTTTTTGTAACCAGACTGGACTGAGCTGGGCTGAGTTCTTAACGGTTCAAATAATTTGGACTGCCCAAATGTGGGTGATATGATTAGAAAATAAATTTCGAAAGAGACTTAACCGTCATTTTGAGCCCCAGCCCATCATTGAAAAAATTCATTATTAAAGTTACATTTAGTGTAAGAATTGAAAAAGGAAATTCATAAAATAGAGCTAAGATATAGGAAAAAAATTTAAAATACAATTAAATATATTTTCTCCACAGAATACGACTTATTTACTTCTATTAAATAGGAATTAATGTGTTATAATTAGGGAGGAAAATAATAGCATTCACATTTCCAGAACTATGTCATTTTTTACCCTTACTAAGGGACTTTTTTTTAAAAAAAATAGGGAAAATCGCACTTTTAGTCCCTGTAATAGTCACCATATTGAAATGTCAGACCTGTATTTTCAAATTTGTAAATGTCACCCTCAATTGTCCAAATCGTGGTAAATGTGGTCCTTTAGGGGTAAAATGTAGAATGTGGGCGAGGAGTACATTTCCCCCCTAAAAGGACCACATTTACATCAATTTGGACAATTGAGGGGTGACATTTACAAACATAGAAATATGAGTCTGACATTTCAATATGGTGACTATTACATGGACTAAAAGTGCGATTTTCCCTTAAAAATATTACACAAATAAAACAGAAGAGGGACACACCCCAATATTTACATCTAACTATGACACCCATTAAAAGTGATTTGTGTTTTTGTAGATTTCTTAAATTCATTTGTATGAACTTATGTGATGGTGAAATTTATATGAGCATCCCATATTACTATTTCAATTGTTAATGGATTTTTAGAAACAATTAAAAAACTATACTTTTAGTAGCCAAGCAAGTGTATTTGTACTGATATTGATATAAGCAACATTGATGGTGCCTCCCGTATCACCAGACGTGAATTATTTTATTGAAAATATTGATAAACGACCCTGATGATGCCTCCAGTAGCTCAACGACTAATGTTGTATATCCAGAAGTTTTTCAAAATGTGTAGTTTGTTTTGTATTATAATGTTCCTAATTCTTTAATTCAACAACTTATTAACATTTCTCTCTTATCATACTGTGTATTTATTTAATCTTATTATATCAAATGTGTATGGCTTTGATATTTCTATATGTATATCTCATAACTAAATATACAAAAAATATTATTATAATAGTGAATGTGAGTAGGGTTATTTTTACTTGGATTGTAATTTGTCCCAAACCAGATCAGACCAAACCAAATTAGATCAGACCAGACCAGAATTGGATAGTTGTAAATTACAAAAAGACCAGATCAGACCAGACCAGTAAATTACGGTCAAAGTAAAAACATCCTTATTGTTTTATTCAAAATATATTGTGGGTGCCATTGGGTAGTAGTGTGTTAGCTCCCAATTCAAATTAACATGCGACAATAATATTTCAAATTAACATAGTATTATCTTTTAAGTTTTAAATGCTATGTTAATATTTCAAAAATATTAACAATTAATATGGGATAGAAAATCATAGAATCTTTCTGATTTGATCTGAATTTTTTTGATCTGATCTGATCTGACATGAATCTTTCTGATCTGATCTGAATCCTTCTGATCTTATCTGATTGGAATATTTCTATAAATATAATTATAAATATAATTATTATAATTATAATTGTACTTACAAATATAATATAAATAAAATTTTAATTATAATCATAATTATAAAAAATATAATAATTATAATAATAATTAAAAGTAAATTTAAAATTATAATAATTATACCTATCACACTAATTATAACTATAGATACAATTGTAATTGTAATTATATTTTTAATGACAATTACTTATATAATTATAACTCTAACTATAATTATAAAATTTATTTCTATATTTATAATTATAATTATAATTATAATTACCCTGTAAAATAATAATAATAAATACAACAACAATAATAACAATAATAATTATAACTATACTAAAAATAATTACATTATAATAATATATTAATATTAATAATATAATAAAATAGAATAAAATATAATAATATATTAAATGATAATAAACTTAATAATATATTCATAATATAATATTTTAATATTATTATTGTTATTATTATTAATATATTATATTAATATTTAATAATAATATAATATAAAATAATTATATATTATTATTATTACTTAGTATCATTTTATAATAAATATTATAATTTTTTTTATAATTTAATATTATTATAATAATATTATATTAATAATAATAGTATTATTATTTAATAATAATCTATTATTATCATTATATTAATATTATTATTGTATTATTATTAACTATAATGTAATGATTATAATAATAATTAATATTAATATAATAATAAAAGTGATAAATCATGTATGAGGTTTTGTGATCTGATATGATCTGATCTGAATGTTTCTCATTTGGTCTGATCTAATATGAATCTTTCTGATATGATCTGAATCTTTCTGATCTGATCTGAATTTTTCTGATCTGATCTGAATAAAATACGATTAAAAAATAAGTAATAAGAATAAGATGAAGAGAATAGGTTCTTAGTGATCCTCGGTGAATTACATCCTTTCTTCTATACATGTATACACCATATATTCCTATAGTATGTGTATTGGTGTATATAGTTAAGATACATTTAAAAAAAGCCAAAAATAGTTTAATTTTTACAATGACTAAAATAATTAAAAAAAAATAAGCTACATCTTTTTTGAAATTAGTTATAAAGGTTTTTATGGAGGCTACATGTAAACATATGAATAAAAGTGTTGAACCCGTTTCTAGTTTCTATTACTCCGTATAATATTATGATAACTTTAATTAAGAAACTCATCCAAGGCACAAAACACACCTTTAAATTTTGCATGTGACAACATAGAATCCAATGCAATAAGATAGCACATGGCCACTAATCCACCATGAATTGGCCATGCTCATTTCTAAGCAAAATGATGCTCGGATCCAGGAATCCAGGATGCCCTGAGCTGAATAGTAATTATACTAGGCTTAAAAATTAATAGGGTGGGTTGCGAATATTAAAAAGAAAATACTAATTTTTTTTAAGTTGCTCTGGGGTTGAACCAATTCAATCCAGCTCCAGGAGTGGAAACATTTTAAAGTCTGTCTTTTTATTTTTTCATAGAAAAATGAAATAATGAGCTGTTTTGATTTGTTTGGTGTGCTGCAATTTGAAGAGGAACTTTCCATTTTATAGTAATACTAGTTTTTTCAACGCGCGTTGCGCGATTGAGTTGATGCCCAATATTATATATGCAATTTTAATAATGTAATGTATCCTAGATCATTATATCTGACTTTGTCAAAAAAAAAGATCATTATATCTGACCCGTTTAACTGTTTACATATGCAGTAAAGAGCATTTGAAAATAAGTTCAAGTGTTATACGTTCATAATAAAAAGGAGCAGACACTAAGTATATGGATTTAAAAAGCACACTTCGTGATAAATTAGAACAACCAATTTAGGAACAAAATGAGGAGAGTTGTCAACATATTGTTTAACCTGAGCTTAGTTAGCACATGAACAGAAATATCATTACAAAAACGATGTCACTACGAGAGCTTAAACATTTAAATAAAACATACAAGTGAAAATTTATGTCGTGAAAAACATAAATGGAAATATTTGTATTTGGGAACTCGTCAATTCCTTTTAATTTTTTATAGCTATTTTCAAAAGGTATTATCAAACTTGTAGGTACTTGCAACTCTCTATCATACTCCGTATAATATAAGTTAATAAAAGACACAAGAGGAAACCACTACCCAATTAAATCATATAAACGTACAGCCAGAGAAGAACCCACAACTCAACCATTCTCATGCTCCCCAACCCAAACCTTATTTATTAAAATACTGAAATTTGTACTCAAACTGAAAATATAGTAGCAGACTGTGTGCAGTGTAAACTGACTTATAAACTGAAAATATTATGCAATGGTGAGTTTTGATAAGCCAAAAGGTCAAGTGGACTTTGACTCTTGGCTTTTTTAACCTTCGTCTTTGCTGGCTCTTCGGTCTCCCCCAACTTGATTGAATTTTCTCCATAATATAGTTTGCCATGATTGGTGGAAAGTGATCAGATTCAGGAGGCTTCCCACTTACTGTTTTGTTTGTCTGATATGGTTTACTGCCTAGTTTGTGCCTGTATACAGACTCAACACAGGATTGAGATGGACAAGAGAGTCGGGAAGTTTTGTACTGGACCAATGTTAGTTCCTCCACAACAGCAAATGTCACGAGTTGTTCAGCAATTACCACCCAATGTTATATATGGCCAACCCCAACCCCATCCACAACCGCAAGGTTATCGTCCAGTTGGGTATCAACAGTGACAACTTTCTGAGTCAATCATTTGTGGTTAAAAAATTATAAAATTGATTTGGATTTATACCTTTGATCCTTTGAAAATGAGGATGGACTGAACCATGTGTTCTGAATTGTTCTCGATAGGTTCCTATCCACCTGCATACATGATAGATAATTTGTGACTCATTCAAATGCTTGGCATTGTCATTGTTAGTGAATATGTTCGAGCTATTGAAAAAAAACTGTAATGCACCAAGACTTTTACACTTTCTATTAAAATAAGGTCTAGAGTTCAAAGCTAAATAAGATATCCTGGGGAATGCATTAAACAAAAGGGACATTTAAAATGATTTTGCAACTAAAATGAAAAAGCGTGTTTCAAGATCTAAACCTTGAAAAGGGATAACACAAAAGGGTATTAGCATCTATTCGGTATATACTGAAGCATTGCATCGCAGAAGTTGAATGAAATAATGTAAATTAAGCCTAATTCCAATAAGGGCATTACATGATAATTTTTTTTCCCAAGTTTCTCCGGACCAATGGAACCCAACCAATCAGAAAATTGTTGAAACAAAATTTTCGTAAAACAACAATCCTTAAATTATGAAGTGATTGAAAACTGAGTCTTGAAAAAAAAGATCATACGAAGAATTGGTGTAGATTTGCTCCCAGACTCCAGAGTAAATGACATAATTGATTCTTCCTCATTCAGACTAAATCATACCAACACCCTAAAATCCTTTACTAATATCTTGCAGACAAGAGAGTAAAAGTAGAGAATCAAAACACCAAAAGAAATTGAAAAACATCACAGTCAGGGGCAAAGAAAGAGGATTGCCAACCAGAGAGTAATTACCAGAGCACAGTTCAGCGAGAAACGGATAAACGGAAAGGAAATATACGAAGGAAACGGAAGGCGTTATTACGATGATAACAGAGGCAGATGGAACGGAGAGGGCAATTGGACGGAAATAAAACGAAAAATAATATTTCTTTTAATAGAGTACATGTGGTAAAACATATGGTACCATCTCATTAAGCTAAATGATTACACCAACATCTTTTTCATACCCAAATTATCCTAACCCTCATTGGCTATTATAAGTTTTTAAGATAAGATAAGAACTTTCCATGTTCATGGATGTTAATGCAGTTTTGCATTCCTTAAGCAATTCTTTATCAATAAAAAAGTATAGCATTTCTGCACTTGGCTTTCAAAAATCTGCACTTGGCTTTTCATAATTCTGCACTTAGCCTTTCAAAAACCTGCACTTGACTTTCAAAAATCTGCACTTAGCTTTTCAGAATTCTGCACTTAGCCTTTCAAAACCTGCACTTGGCTTTCAAAATTCTGCACTTAACTTTTCAAATTTCTGCACTTAGCATTTCAAAAAACTGCACTCAGCCTTTCAAAAATCTACACTTTTATTGGAAGCAGGCTGATCATAGTATTACAATATACAAACTGTTATTTGAAATTTGCACTCTCAGAATTCTGCACTTTAGGCTTTCAAAAATCTGCACTCAGCTATTTGATAACAGAACACAAAATGTTTCTTCAACAACACACACCTAATTATAACATCCCATTACAACTAGTGAATGCTTTTCTCTACTTCTAGGCTTCTACTTTCATTCAATGGACAATACATCTACAACATAATAAATCCACAGTTAACAACAAGGACCATTGCCAAGACTATCCAACTAATAATAGCAATGATTAGTGCTGTTTTCTTTTTGCCTTCCAATTTTACTCTCTCCAACTGTGAAGGCCTCTCTTCATTTGCTGATTTTGCTCGGTTCTTCAACCTGTTTAATTCACCCACAGTTCTTCCACTTCTTGCTCCATGATTGTATCTGTGACATTTGATTTTTTTGAATCTCTTATTCTCGGCTTCTAGTATTTTTCTTTCCAACTTCATCTCATTTATCATATCTTTAGCCCGGACAAGTAAAGCCTCATTGTGCCATTCAAAATACCCGCATCCATTCCTGAAAATTTAGTATTCATATTTTATCATATTCAGTGTAGATAAAAAAACAAACAAAGTTTGACCAAAAGTATCTCATCAAGATACAAATTCAATTTTCAAACAAATCTTACTTTGTAGATTCACACTTGTAGAAATGAAGCCCAGGATCCTCACGGAGATTTAAAACATGGAGCTTTCTCTTCAAAGTAGCAACTTTTGGAAGGTTTAGCATAATTGAGCTCAAAATTACTGTATTTACTGATTTTGATTGTGATATTGATGAACAAGAGGGCATTACAGATAATAGCTAGGTTTGAAAAGATTCAACACAGACCTAAATAAGTCAAAATATTAGAAAAAACAATTCAAAAAATTAAATAAAACTTAGATGAGAACTGGTTCGTTGTTCTCCAGGAGTAATTAAACTGATATGCTCGTGCTTCATGTTTTTCTGCCTGCGTTCAAAGCCCTCCTGAGTTCCCATGCCTACATGCTTTCGAAGTCTGGCGTTTATTTAGGTTGATGACGGGAGCTGAACAACCGAAATCTTAGGAAACGTTACAGAAACGTTAAAGAAGGGTAGTATTAGACCCATATTCAGATTTAGGTGTATTTTTTTTCAAATAAATAGAAAAGGGTATATGTGTTCTCCCACTTATAGTTGAGGGGTGTTTTTGTTCCTTTTCCCTTTTTTCTTTCTCAACGTTACTTTATAATTCATATGTTATGTACTCCGGGGTATAAGATAGTTTTTTATCTTCTCTTTTTGAATTGAAATGGCCGATGTTGAACAAAATTTTCAGACGGGTTGTGAAAATGAATACTTTGAAACTACCCCTTTGTCATTAAGCTCTTGTGGCCGCAACAATTTGGCTACATCTCTTTGTTGGGAGTTGTTATGTCATCTTATTCTTATTAGTTATTGCTTATCCTATTTTATTAAATCAGATTAAATCAGAAATATATAGATTAGTGAAAAATTTAAAATCTGTCACATCACATAGATTTAGACCATAAAGATAGAGATCAAATTAGCTCAGATAAAAAAGTTTGGACATAATTTATTATTATTATTTTATTTTTATTATTATTAATATTATTATTAGTACTATTACTCTCAATATTATTATTATTATTATTATTATTATTATTAATATTATTATTTTTATTATTACTATTATTTATTAGTATTGTTGTTATTATTTGTATATTATCAAAGATATAGAAACATAAATTCTTGTTATTAATATTTGAAAAATAATAACATTACTAACTAGATTATAAAGATAAAAAACGAATTTTATGTAAAGCTATATCTTCTCCCTTCGAAATGAAGACTATGATATGTGACAAGGTCAAAACCATAAATGTATGCACCAAAATTCATAATAAAGACATTTGACTTAGCAGTTAGCAACCCACTCACTCCTTCATAGTTTTTGGACTAATAGGCTGGACACATAAATAATTTTGAAAATGGGAGTGCAAAATCTAATATTACTCAAAAATGTTCAAAATCAAATTTCTTCAAAAAAATTAATTTCTTTCCCCACCTTTTCCTTCGATTGGTAGTATTGTCTTCATTAACGTGTTTCAACTTTTATTACATTCATATACAACAGTTTGTTATATTTTTTACGAAGTACTATGTACTAAATATGCTTTTCAAATGTAGATCTTTAATTTAACAAATCATATTTAAAGAGCTACATGTAGCTACAGTGGCGGATCCAGGAAAAAAGTTTATTGGGGGCATAGTAATTAAAAATACCACTTATCTGCCATTTTATGTGTCTTGTTTCGATTTAATATAATTATTAATGAAGTGATTGAAAAAGTAAAAAATATGGTAGCGATTTGAGTATAATAAAGTGAAACATTGTGAATCTCATATTTCTTTCCAATCTCCAAAATAAAAAATATGACACATATTTTGGGATAACTTAAGTGTGGAACGGAGGGAGTATTATGCAGAAGTGTGGAACAAAAGAAAAAAATTATGTTGTAGTAAAGTACAATTGTGTTGTTTCAATGGAATTTTTTTGAACAAAATATATTCAAAATTGTTTGCATCGAGTTTTCATCTTGTAAGAGATCCATTATAATTTTAACAATAAATTCCACTTTTGGTCCTACAAGTTTTAGGTCAATTCCACACTTAGGCACATATTTCACTTTGTCCACTTTTGATACAAGACTATTGTGTTTTCGTCCACATATGGTCCTTCCGGCATTGTTTCTGATTGTTAAAATCGTCCGAAAGGGACCACAAACGGTTAAAAGCATTAGCCAAATATCAAAAGTGGACAAAGTGAAAGACGTGGACTAAAGGTGGAATTGGCCCAAAACTCATATTTTAACATTATACTCTCCCCGTTCCGCGAAGATTGTCTCAATTTTTTATTATAAATCCCACTAAAATTGTCATGTCAAATTAAATTTATGGATGTACTCCAATAATAACCATAAAATAAATTAATAACATTATAAACCTAAGTAACATACTCATTAAAAACAAGTAACACACGACTTTAGACTTTAGAGTTAAGCAACTAATCAGAGACACCACATCCTGTTCTAACCCAACGAGAATACAACTCATCAAGGCGATGTCTTCCTTTCCTATTCGCCGTAAATTATCAAAGTTAAGCTAAATCAATAGTAAAGCACGGTTTTAGTGATTCTGAAATGTGAATTTAATATTTACAACTTTGGGGCAGTTGATGGACTGCTGAGTTATTGGGGGCAACCATTTTTTTTATTGGGGGCAAGTACTTGGATTTTGATATTTACTAATAAAATTGTATGAGCTTAGTAGAGTTTTATTGGGGGCAGCTGCCCCCATAGTATTGTGAATAGATCCGCCCCTGTGTAGCTATCACTCTACTACTCTAGCATGTGTGTGGATAATAAAAAATGTGTTATGTGTGTGGATGATAAAAAATGTTACGGTTAAACCATGTTATTTAGATTCATGGTAAAACATATTAGAAGTTCATGTAATCAAAGTGTGAAGATTTAGTAGTATAGAACTATAGATATTGGAAAATTAGAATACATAAGATCCTGTCAGATTATTAGAATATAAGGCGAGCAGAGCATTTCTTGTGAAAGTGAATACACTCCTTCCTTCCTGCAAAATTTTTCCCACTTTTCTTTTCAGTCTGCCTCACAAAATTCTTCCCACTTACCATTTTTAGAAAATTTGTGTAGTTCACATTCATTTCACATTTTCTTACACAATCACAACTATACATTTCCACTTTATTCTACTTTCATAATCTCCGTGCTAGGTCAAACTAGGAAGAATTTTGCGGGACAGAGGGAGTATTAGATTATAATACATAAGATCCTATCATTTTTTTCCTACACATAAAACACATGTAATTAATCGGAAAAATGACTTTCTACTAAAATTTTTAAAAACTATTTTTTACTACTTTATGCTTACTTTATTGTCCTCCAAAATATGTGTGTAGATCATATATGATAGAGTTTATGAACTCGGACACCTTGTTTAACGATTATTGGGTCTGGAAAACGACCCATGTTCGTCCAGGAGATAGTATTTATATTATCTCTTTTTCGATACTTTGTTTTTATTTATTTTTATGATCCGGTGACTAAATGTTAATATTTTACTTTTGTTCTGAATCAAATACGTATTTTGTTTCGAACGCAGTTAATAAAATAAAGACATGTCAAAAATCGAAATGAGACTATTTTTAATCTTAGTATGTAGTTTTAAGTTTTGCTTTACATGTAATATGACTTCATTCTCTATTGATGGTTGCAGGGGCGTAGCTAGGAGTAAGAAACTAAGAATTGGATTAAGCCGGTACAAAGTTATTTTTTACAAATAAATTTGTACACATAAATGTTTACATTAAAAATATAAGCAATTTTAAAATTTGGTCTAGGTCAGGGTCCGGTTGGCCACCCCTCCACCTCCGCCCCTGGATGGTTGTACTCATTGTTCTAAAAATCGGTCTAGGCAGTCTAGTCGCCCTAACCGTAGAGCCCTAGTTAGGGGTGGACCGGTTCCGGTTCGGGCCCGGTTCGGGCCTGGGCCCGGCCGGGCCTCGGTTCAGAAAAAGGAGGCCCGAGCCCGAACCGGTGGTGGGCGGTTCCGGTTCCGGTTCCGGGCCAGAACCGGGCCGGGCCGGGCCGGGCCACCCGGAATTTTTTTTTTTTTTTTGCTTCTTCTTCTCTTATTTAACCCCCTACCCCTCCCCCTCCACCCCAAACCACCCCAAACCACCTCAAATGGCCCAAAATACCTAATCCAACCCAAAACTTAAAAAAATTTCAAAAAAAAAAAAAAAAAAAAATTAATTCCGGCCCGAACCGGGCCCGGCCCGGCCGGGCCGGTTCACTAAACTGGAGGCCCGGGCCCGGACCGGTATACCACCGGGCCGGGAGGCCCGAACCGGAACCGAACCGGTTCACCGGGCCGGTCCGGGCCCGCACAGTAGCGGGCCGGTCCGGTTCCGGGCCGGTTGGCCCGGCCCGAGTCCATCCCTAGCCCTAGTCGGCAAAAAAATCGACCTAGTCAGCCGCCTAGACGCTAGGCGCCTCTCAACCGCCCGACTAGCGCCTAACGAGTTTTAGAACAATTGTTGTACTATATACCGTATATGAGAAACATTTTTACCGTATCTTTTCATTTCATTCAAACTTTATTTCACTTTTGCTATTTTTGTATGAAATTTCAATTTCATTCATACTTTGAATTGCGCCTCTTCTTTGCACAGAGAGCCGCGAGTGGGACAGAGATATCAGTGACGACATTTTTTATGAACGGGACAGAGTTCTTATTAAGGGAATCCCATTGAAGAGATCTCCTGTAACGGATTCGTTTTGCTGGAGGTGGGAGGAAAGTGGGCATTTCTCGGTCCAAAGTTGTTATAGGCGTTTGGTGGGGGAGCTGGATATTCAGCCGAGGATGATATGGACTGTTATGTGGAAATTTATTATTCCTCCTAAAGGGCTAAAGTTAAAATGTTTTTTTGGTAGGTTTGTAGTGGTTGTCTTCCATCAAGACTTAATTTGCAGGCTCGCAGAGTGGAGTGTTCGGGGCTTTGTGGATTGTGTGGAGCGGACACGGGGTCACTTGAGCACTTGTTCAGACTTTGTTCTGCTGCGAAGGATTATATTTGTGGGCGGAACTTTGATGGCAGTGGAGATCCATGAAAGGATTGGCTATTGTGGATCAGTTTTTTGAGGAGTTTAGGAGCAAGAAAACGACAAACCTCGAGCTTCTTGTTTGGGGCTGATGGTTGCTATGGATAGAAAGGAATCAAAGGGTCTCGCAGGGGCTTCTTCTTCGGTACAACAGTTGATCAACCGAGGCCAAGCTACTGTTGACGGATGGCAGCAGGTTGCTAAAGGGAGAAGGCCGCCGCATACTCTTCAGTTGGGGCGAGTTTCATGGAGTAGACCGGACCCAGGCCAGTGGAAGTTGATCGTGGATGCAGCGACGCGGGCAGAGTGCTGCGGATTAGGATGGTGTTTGCGGGATTCGGACGGCCAGTTTGTTGCTGGGGCATCAAAACCGTGGCCGGGAGTGTTGACTGCATTGGGAGCGGAGCTCGTGAGCATTCGGGAAGCTTTAATTTGAGTTGGCTAAAAGAGCATGAATTTACTTCGGTCGTGATTGAGTCGGATGCAGTAGGGGCAATCAATGAAATTTTAAGTGGCTCAAACTGCTCATTGGTGGGACTTTTGCGGGATGACATACGTGATTTGGCAAATTCTTTTTCGTTTATTTCATTTTGTCATGTAAGGCGATCAGCGAATAAGCTTGCTCATTTGTTAGCTAAAGCGGCTTGTTACCTGTCTGATTCGCAGTTTTGGGTTGATTTTTCTCCCTCTTCTATTGTTTCGGCTTTAGCCAACGACTTGATTAATGATAATTAAATATTTTCCTTGCAAAAAAATCGAGTTAATAGGCGCCCCCAAAAAACGGTTACAACTCTGCTACTTTATACTCCAAAAGTTGTAACAACTCTGCTACATTATACTTTGTATCTGTATATTATATAAAAATATGTCTAAAATAGTTTTTGGACACACTTGTATGCAAATTCTTAATGGGTTAGGTCTCGGGTTCGAATCCCGTCAACTGCGATGAGGGGCTACTATGCTGAAAAATGCATAGGGCCTTTGCAAGTATCGGGGACAGAGCCCCACTCTCTATTTGTCATATTGTGATTATAGTCCAATTTACATCCTTCTACCGTGCCGTCCGGTCAATGGTGGGGGACCCTCAGAGACGGGGTGTCATCTTTTTTTTTCTTAATGGATGCACTTCCATTACTTTATTTGCAGATTCTTAATTGGTGCAATTAAGGTTCTATTTATGTAGAAGTTATTAAAGAAATATATTTTTTTCATACGGTAATCTTGATCTACATACGTATGTTTTCCATTACTATTTTTTTTCATACGGTAATCAAAGAAATATTTAGATTTAGAGGCCGTTTGGTAACATCATTTTTCGGCTTATCAGGCTTATCAACCAGCTTTTTCACCAAACACGTAATTTTTACTTTCGCGCGCTTAGTTGTGTAATAAGCAGAAAAAGTAAGGTTGTAGTTACTTTTCTGGCTGTATTGGCTGAAGTTACTGTAGATGATCATTTTAGCTATTTTTACATATAATTTTTTCTTTATTTTATTAATAAAATATATTTTAAAAATAATTTTTACTTAAATCAGCTGAAACAGCCAAAGCAGCCACTTCAGCCAGAACTTCATAAATTTCAGCAGAATCAGCCAAAACAGCCGATTTTCGTGCTACCAAACGGGCTCTTAGAGTTGATTCCATACGTATGACATACGATAGTATTTAGTACATACAGTGCATTTTTAATGGAATGTCAATTACCTTTTTGTTATTATTATTTTGGGAGACAATTTTGACTCTACAAATTGTAGCCCGACTCTTACTTTATTATACGGAGTATTATACTCCGTATAAAGATTTCGTTGAACCAAAGTAGTGGATCGAGGATGTTTTCTTTTGGACTCAAATTTACTGATCTGGTCTGGTCTGGTCTGATCTGGTCTGGTCTGGTCTGGTCTGGTAGACGTCTGGTCTCTGTGTATTTTATAATTACGGAAGTCTAGTCTGGACTGGTCTGATCTGGTCTGGTTGGTGTGGACTGGGACTTAAAATAGTCCAAAAGAAAACATACCCGTTGGACGAGCAATCCAGCATCTGCTTTCCAACAAAAAAACCTACTTATAAAGGAAGGGGAAGGGACAGACAACCTAGGCAATCCACAACTATGGTAAAGGTGGGAAGAGCAGATGGAGAAGCAGCTAATTATCAGTCCCTTCGCCGATGCGAGAATCGGTGAGTATTGTAAAAATATCCGATCTTGTATATAGGTAGCTTAGTTATAATTACTGTTACAAAACATATTCAGGGATTACGAGGATGATACGCTACCCCGAAAAAGAAGAAAGTCGGCGGGGAAGGAGGAGAAAGAAGGGAAGACGAGGAGGAAGGATAAGGGGAGGAAATCCGAGAAAGCAGCAGCGAAAAGTAGATCGGAGGAGGAAGAGCGGAGTAGGAGCGATGAACACAAGATGAACACCCGCACACACTCAAAAGAGTATGAGGCTACTCGTCGACGCTTCAGAAAGCTGGGTAAATACGCCGTGAAACTCTACAACCGGGAGAATGTAAGTTTGCACCGTATATTTTTTGGGTAATGTTCGTCCAAGGCAGTTCAAATCGTAAAATACTATGCTGTAAGACACTATAGTATTAAGAAAAATATATTGGTTGATAATGCTGAAAGAAGTATATGATGACTGATGAGATAGTAATCCTGACTCAATTTAGCCCAATTTTATCTATCTTCCACGGTCATATTAATTATTTTACAAAACATTTTTAGCAATAAACATAACCACAATTTTTTTCTTTTTAATACAAGTCAAGAAGATGCCCTTTAGCAAAACGTATCATTTTTGCCCAAGTACTACAAACAACAGAATTTTCGAACACTAATTTTAGCGTGTGATTAGCCCCCTCAAATTTCCCAGGGTCAGTGTTGCAAGCTCACACAGTCTAGTAACTTTTGGTGTTCAAGTAAAGGGTTTATCATAAGCATCTTCAGTCTAACATTTAGTCCTAACCGGAATTAAACACCAAACCAGGCTTAAACAGTCAAGACTGGACTTCCATAGTTATAAAATAACCTTAGTTTAACCCCAGAGCAAACCAGATCATCAAATTTCAGTCCAAAAGAAAAAAACCTTAGTTTAATTTCAGCTTGGTGTTACATCTACTGGTGCAGGGAACCTGTTTTCAGATGGTGGACCTATTGAGTCACAGCGTTTCAATTGGTTGGTATCCTGATTTTCACAGACACTTGAACATCACTGCCAAGCTTCCTCAATGGGACTCTCCCAGGCGTTTCTTCGTTGAGGTTAATGATTGTCCAAAACCAACGCACTGCTTTATGGTAGAAGGTAGAATTATTTAATTCCCAACTTCATGTCTGTCTTTAAGCCCATTGTCTGTGCACAATCAAACTTTTAAATACACATTCTTCTTTTAAATGTCCTCGTTAAATTACACGTTGTGAAATTTATATTGTACTTCTTAATATTCAAGTCAATGCAGGGTTTTGAAACTGACATATGTTTATACCTATGTTTAAGAAACCGGACCGTGCGGGTCGGCCTAGAAACCGGCGACCCGGTACTTAACCCGGTCCGGTCAGCTAGATACCCGTAAATATGATGAAAACAGGAATAACCCAACGACCTGTTGTGGCCCAGCTGAACCCAGACCGTCCTGAAACCTGCAGGAACCGGAAGTTCAGGATAATTATGCTCTTTTAAAAAATGTCTGGTGTGGGATTCGAACTAGCGTCCACAAGGAAGAGGAAGAATATTGCCGCACACTCCAATTTGCCACATAAAGCTTTTGTTAATACATGTTCCTTAATTGTGCTAATATCATTCCTATTAGTTTTTCTTTGTTTCTTTTTTAAACAAAAATATACTACTCCTTATGGGACAACAATATACTCCTTAAATCCTCAACTTGGTAAATACTCTGTATACGTTCTTTCCTCAACAGATGTTTTGCAATTTTTTTAGTATATAACAAAATTGTTTACCAAGTGTTGTAATAATTATTTTATTAGTGAAAATATTCATTTTAATTTTTTAGAAATGTTAATATATAGGTTGTATTTAACTATTTATTACTATAAAATTATATATAAAGTTGACTGGGGTTTTTTGGCAGTGACCGGGTTGACCTGCCAGGTCCTGTCTGACCCGTGACCTGGTCATTTGGCCGTTTATCTTCTCGGGCTGGTTTTTACAACACAGGTTTATACTTGAGTGTTATTTTAATAATAATAATAATATCTTTCTAATTCTGGCCATAGTTGTCATGGCGCATGGCGATCGCCATGGCTCAAAGGCATTTTTCATGGCGCATGGCGATGGCGCATATACAAATGGCGCATATGGCGCATATAGCGCTATGGCAACGATCACTTTTTCATGGCGATGGCGCATATGGCGCGCGCCATATCTCGCCATTGACTACTATGATTCTGGCACGGTTCTGTGTTGCTTTAATCGAAATTCTTCATTTTCTCAATCAAAGCAATTTTATAAATACTTATGCTGCAATAATGTTGCCCTCGGCAATGAACTTATTAATCATCTTGTTATGTTTTCTTTCATCTTTAAATGTTTCACCAGTAAAATGAAACGTATTTTCATGCACCTCCTGACCTCCTATAGTTTTATCTCACCAACCTGTTGCTGTCGTTGGTCTGTAATATTTTGAGCTGTGGTTGATTGATCCTGTAGTGAACTCCATCTTAACCTGCTGTAATACATATCTTTCTGCATGCAGTTGATCCTGAAAATGCGGTGGGGTTTTGTCTTGAATGTCACAGAACTTATAAGGTCATGCATCCGCCCTCTCGTGGCTATCGTGTGGGTAGTAACTTCCCAGAGGGTTTCAAGGGACCTCGTGTACCTCTAACAATCCAGGCGTTCCGACGCTTTTTGCGATGTCGTCCTGTTAAGCCTACTTAATTTATGTTTTCACCATTGCTCTCTTTGGAGTGCTGAAATAATTTCTTATTTGGTGTAGTATATTTAAATGTATCCCCATCACTGCTTGCTGCTATTTAACCAGAACTCCTATTTATGTGCTCTTCTGACTTTTGGAAGTAACTCGTCTATAAGCATTGTGCTAATAAACAATCTAAAGGGCAGGTGATTGAATCATGAGGTCTGTAGCGAGGTTTGAACATATGGAATCATGAGGTTTGTAGTGTGGTTTGAACCTATGTATAAAAAACAGGACTGGGAAGTGACCCAGTCACAAGATTGGGTCATGGGTTCACATGGATCCGATGGGTCAACCCGTCAATACCGAAAACTTGGTCTTCAATTACACGATTTATTAACACGACCATATGAAAATGATAAACATATCTTTTTAATTCAAAATAAACATATAATTATATACAAAATTATAATAAAAAGCAGACGGTAATACTTATTAACCATTTAAAATAGACTCGTAATATTTAAAAATACAATTTTAATCCTATTAAATTATGTATGTATTGATATTTGTTATTAATAATGTACATTTATAATATACGGAGTAATATTTTATAATATAATTTGGCATGATTTTTTGTTCTTAAATAAATATATAATTATATTACATTACAAAATTTTTGGGCTCAGAATTTTTGGCATGTTTCTTGTGAAGTGTCGATGTTTTATCAAATTTGAGCAAAAAAATTAATCGGAAAGGTAATCAAATAATTTGCGGAAGATTATTATATTTTACATGTATATTTTGGCGCAGTTATTTTCCAAAAATCATTCGACTGTCTTCGCGATTGAATTTTTTAATTGAATTTGGTGGAGATTATTTACAATTCATGAAAAACATGTTCAAAACATTTGAGCCAATAATATTACGGAAACCACCCCAATCAAATGATTTTGGATGATAACTATGTCAGGATATACATAATTTATTTAATTGCCTTCCAAATTTGGTGGGCAGAATTATACTTCACCAAGAACATGCTTCAGAACTACATAAGGTGTGATCATTACTTCAACTATAATATCAACTATAATAAGGGCATTCGGTTGGAAGGCGGGGCAGATGATAATGGTAGCACTCTTGGTGATGATTGGATCTTTCTGCACTGGAACTCTCTTCGGCTCCAAAGATTCTTATTTTTCTCCTTCTCTGCATCTCCTGAACAGAACCCACATGATTACAAGAACAATAGGTCTCGGTCAGTTAGAATTCCAACCTATCTTACACCGCATCTGGTTAGTTCAGTTTCATGGGTTTTATTTCTGATTTCCTTTTGATTTAGTGTGGAAATGTATTAAAGAAACATAAGCACTGATATAATTTTTGCTATTATTTCAGTACAGTATTTAATTTCACAAAATATATGGGTGTACATTTTGATATATGATGAATTGATGATAGCATTTTCAAACAAAAATGATTCCTGTTTTAAAAACCTTTTTTTGGCTTCAGGAATAGATTTCCCATAAGCGGTCATGAACTTTTAGAAAACGCCCAAATTTGCAAAATGATTGTGCATATTGTGATTCCTATATTCTGCATATACTTTATGCATGCAGGTAGTCTGAGATTTACAAACAAAGTTGCTCTTATCGAATGGTACCACTCACTATACCAGAATTCCAGAAACTGGGATAAACGTTTGCCCACTTAAATTCAACGAGCATATCCCATGTAATGATTGTCCTATATTAAAGAGTTACTGCCAAAATTAGATCTTACTAGGAAGGAAGAGCTAGCGAGGCATTGTCCTCCTCTAGAGAAACGCTTGTTTTGTTTGATGCCACTGCGGTGGATTATAAGGTATCAATCAGGTGGCCTATTAGTCGTGATTAAGTATGGCAAATCAATGTGAACCACTCACATCAGGATGCATGAGAAGGATCAGGTCTTGTGGTGGACTGGTGATAGAAACCTCCAAAATCCAGAACAATTTACAGAAAGAAGATCAAGAAACAAACTGAAAATGTTATTGAAGAAGATGAATAGTAACAGTAACAAGGCCGAAGCCCCCAAAGAGAAGAGACGGATAATCTCTAATCTTCCCAAGTCCCAAGACCGAAAGTCCCAAAAGCCTGCCTACTAACTCCCCTTTTCATCTATTTATACTACAATCCTGCATATACCCTTATTACAACTATACCCTTATTATTCTTTCTATTATTAATCTAATAGGTAGGTCCCTATCAATACTCCCTCCCTAAACATCCACCTTGCCCTCAAGGTGGTCGGTAGGAGACAGCCAAGATCTTCTGCTTCTTTCTCTTCCTTGCGCTTCTACCTTCCCAATATCTAACTGATTTCTGAGAAAAGAGCTTCCATACTTGATTCTTCCAATTCACAGATGTTACTGCAGCATATAATATCTCTAATGAATTCTCATTTTCTTCCTTAGTCTTCAGGCCTTCAATAACCACAAATATTTCCTTGTCTTCCTGAGGTGTATCACCTACACTATTAGCAGAATTTATGTTCATGTCCTGAACCTTTTTGCCAGTGAGATGCAACACTGAAACCAAGCAACATTTAGTGCCTGAGAGTTCAGAGTCAACTCCTTCAACACTACATGCATCAGTCCCAATTCTGTGGATTCCCATTCTGATTACAGGTGTATTTCCTTCTATCACTGTCATTTCATTAATGGCTCCATTTGCAATAGCAATGAAGTATGACAGCCCATCCCCATTCTCCTTGCTCACTGCAAAGTATGCAAAGTATTTCTGGTGCTTCTGCCTGACCATTATTAGTAATTCTTCAGGAAACTTTAGGAAGGTGTCCTTAACTTTTCCAAGTACTGGCACAGGTGCTTCAACAAGATCCACTATTCCAGTTGTAGTTCTCCTAACTGAGGAACAGGAAAGCCTATTATCCATGCAAAACTTCCAAAGTTGGTTTTCTTGAAGATAGACAAATTCTTCACCCGAAGAAAGCATTGCACTTTTCAAGCCTTGTTTCAGTTTCATCTATCCATTTGCTTCAGCTTCCAATCTGTTAACAGTAGCCTGAGTAGTAGGATCCCAGCCCATATTGATTTTATCCAACCGATATACAAAAGTATCAGCAACATACTTCCCCATCCATCTCCAAAAAACAACTGTGTTGAACACATTTTCCTCTTCATAGTTCTTATCTCTTTTCAAGAGCATTTTGTGTCTTGGACCAATACTTGCCATAAGAAACTTGTAATCAAAACCTACACTTCTATCTTGAACAGGTATCCAATCTACTGGCAGTCCCCTAAACACTACCTATTAATCTAATAGGTAGGTCCCTATCAACTGGTGGTTTCCAGGAGGTGGAACTCATTTCAAGCATGGAGCATCTGAAAACATTCAGAGAGGTACGCATATCATAATGGCTCTTCTAAACTACCAAGTGTACCAACTGCTAGACCTTCACCACACACACACATGAAGTGTATTTTTATTTTTCCATATCATGAATCTAATGCACCCCACATTTTTAAAAAATTAGTCACCTGCTATGTCCTCAAGAAATAAATAGGGGTTACACAATATCTGAGTGGAATTAGACACCCTAGAGGGTTTGGTGTATAGCAGATGACTAACCACTGTTTGGGGTTAGATACACATTTAGCATTAGCCTCTCTGTCCCATAATAAGGTTTTCATTTACTATGCATACAGAAGTTTACTCTTTTTTAGTACTACCTTCGTCCCATTTATATTGGGATGGAAGATTGTGACACGGTTATTAAAAAAAGTGGGTTTGCGTGGTTGATATTAATTGATAAAGTAAGAATAAAGTAAGAATGATTTAGAGCCACACAAACTTTGTCAAACATGGTATGGGACAATTTAAGCGGAACTTCCCGAAAAGGTAAAACGGGACAAAATAAATGGGACGGAGGGAGTATATGATTTTATATGCCAAATTTTCATATCCGTGAATCCTACTGTTCTGTTCAAAAGAACTTTTAGTCTAATTTCTAAAATGTAATTTTAAATATTCATACCAATTTAAATATCTTATGAGAGACTGAGAGAGTGCACTTCATCATCAGTCAAACACTGAAATAGGAACCTTAATATGGGAGAGAGTATCCCGCGTTGAATGACTAATGAGTTTGTGTCTAATATACAAGTGTGGTAAACCTCACATAGTCACATCTTGAGAGACCTTTTGATATACTCCCTCTGTCCCTAAATTTAGTTTCAACTTTCTCTTTTCGTCCGTCCCACATAGAAGTTCACTTTCCCTTTTTTGGCAAAGAATTTGTGGTTCACAGCATTTCTCTCTCTCTTCTGCACAACTCTCCACCACACAATTTCCACTTTCTTAATCACCGTGCCACTTTAATTTGGAACAACAATTAGGGACGGAGGGAGTAATCATATAAGTTAGTTCTAATTTAACACACTTTTACGACAATGAGTACATCATTGTAAATATGTAGGCTGTTCTGAATTTCTGATATACACGCACATTTTGCAACAAGTGTGTGTAAGGCTGCAAATATTCGAAATCATTTTCCTACTTTTTTCTTTCAATGCAGATTGGGGAATATGACAACGAATGAGAAATTTGACTTACGTTTTGCAAGGGTATTTCAAATGCTTAATGTTGGCTGTGGTGTGGCCAGTTTTTCAGCATATCTTCTTCCACTAGACATAGAAACAATGTCCTTCGCTCCAAAAGATGGCCATGATTCCCATGAAAATCAAATTCAGTTCGCTTTAGAACGAGGGATTGTGGCTATGATTTCTGCTTTAGCTACTAAACAATTGTCATATCCAAGGCAACTCCTTTGACATGGTCCATAGTTCTAGATGTCTTGTTGATCGGTGTGAAAGACATTAGAATATACTTTAGAATATACTTTAGAATATTCTTCTATCCTTAGAATATACTTTAGAATATTTTAGGAATATACTCTAGGATATTATTATTGTATAGAATCTTATAGGAATATTCTATCTTTGTAATGTATATTTATAGGGACTTAACCCTCCAATGAAATACACAGAAAATCTTTCCTCCTCTCTTCAATATTATATTTTGTAGTTTATATTTCAACATGGTATCAGAGACTTCCATTTCAGTTTAGTTTTTCAAATTTCAGTTCTTTATTCAGGCTGACTTCAGTTCAGTATTCAGGCTGGGTTCTTTCTCCAAGAACTTGAGTTAACTTCAGAACCTTACACACCATTTTCAGAACCTTACACACCATTCTGCCTACAGAACCTCTACACACCATTAAACAGAACCTCTGTCCAGACCAACACCGTCCTATTTCTCACCTCCGTCCTAACCAATTGCACTTGCCGCCGCCGACCACGTCTTTGGAGTCCGCACCGGCAAAGCTTCGCGCGTCAGTCACACGCGCCGCCGAAGACTTTCTCGGCTGCCGCACGCGCCGGCGAGTGAAGCTTCATAGCTGACCGGATTTCTAATCGGAAATCGCCATCTCTGCCAGGCAAATCCATTTTTCCGATCTGCGAGCTTTTGGATCCACGGTCTTCTTGAGGTTGGCGACGCAGATACTTTTGGAAGGGGGCTGCGTATATATTTTGTCTATTTATTCGTACCAGACTGTTGAGAAAGGTTGGGATTTGAGACTAGGTGAACTAGCTCGAATTAGAAAGGGGCTGCGTTATATTTTTGGAGTCGCCACTATCATTAGCTGGTAAGTCAGAAACCCAGACCTCGCCAACCATCTATTGAGCTGCGGCTGGTAAGTCTTAATTAGCTGTATTTATTTATTTATTCTCAAAAAAAAAAAGTAAAAAAAAAATCAAAAAAAAAAAAAAAAAAAAATTCAAAAAAAGAAAAAAGAAAAAAGAATGTCTTTTACGAGTCCATTTGGCAGAGGAGTAATATGCCATTACTGCAAGAAGCCCGGGCACTTGCTCAAAGAATGTAGAAAGTTGCTGTTCAAAAATCAAGGAAATCAGCTTGCTCATGTTGCTTCCGCTACGAGTTCATTTGATGGATCAATTGCTATTTCTTCAGACGAGTATGCTAAATTTATTTGCTACCAAGAATCTCTAAAGCATTCATCTACCCCTATCTCGGTAGTCGCAAATTCAGGTATTTCAAACACATGTCTTGTTTCATCATCCTCAAAATGGGTCATTGACTCAGGTGCCACAGATCATATGACTGGTAATCCTAGTCTATTCTCATCATTTCACTCACATTTACCTGCTTCCAGTGTCACTTTAGCAGACGGGTCTACCTCACCCGTTCTTGGATCTAGTACTGTTGTACCAACTTCTACATTACCATTATCGTCTGTTTTGAGTCTTCCTAATTTTGCATTTAATCTGCTTTCCATCAGTAAAATCACACGTACTCTTAATTGTTCTGTAACATTTTTTCCGGGATATTGTGTGTTTCAGGATCTGTTAACGAAGCATACTATTGGTCAAGGACATGAGTCGGGTGGTCTTTATATTTTGGATACATCAATTACAAAAGGTATCTCTTGCCTTGGGGTTGGAAATCTATTAGAAGCTCATTACCGATTAGGACATCCATCTCTCTCACTAATGAAGCAATTATATCCTCAGTTTAATAAGGTGTCTTCTATACAATGTGAGTCGTGTGAGTTTGCTAAACATCATCGCACTAGTTTAAGTCCCCGGCTTAATAAACGAGCAAATGCTCCGTTTGATCTTGTCCATACTGATGTTTGGGGGGCATGTCCAGTTGTGTCCAAACCTGGTTTCAAATATTTTGTCACTTTTGTTGACGATTATTCTCGTATGACATGGGTGTATTTTATGAAGCGCCGATCCGAGTTATTTACTCATTTCTCTGCATTTTGTGCTGAAATTAAAACTCAATTTAATGTTCCTGTTCGTGTGTTAAGGGGAGACAATGCCCAAGAATATTTATCTGCTCCATTTAAATCTTTTATGCTTCAACATGGCATTATTCATCAAACTTCATGCGTAGACACACCTCCTCAAAATGGAGTTGCTAAAAGAAAGAATCGACATCTGTTAGAAACTACAAGGGCTCTTCTATTCCAAATGAATGTGCCTAAACAGTTTTGGGCTGACGCTGTGTCTACTTCATGTTTTTTGATCAATCGTATGTCATCTTCTGTTTTGGATGGTAAAACTCCTTATCAATGTCTTTTTCCAAATAAAGAACTTTTTCCTATTCCACCTAAAATATTTGGTTGCACTTGTTTTGTTAGAGATGTTAACCCTCATCGGACGAAATTGGACCCCAAGTCATTGAAATGTATTTTCTTGGGTTATTCTCGAGTTCAAAAGGGGTATAGATGTTTTTGTCCAAGTACAGGTCGATATCTTATTTCTATTGATGTCTCATTTCATGAAAATACACCATTTTCATCATCCAAGACAGATATTCATGAGGACAACGATGAAATACTCATTTACACAGTTACTATACCTGAGACCACACCTTCAGTAACTATGTCGAATGTCACTGTTCCTGACCCTAGACCTCCTGTACACTTGGTTTACACCCGTCGACACAAAGCACAAGATCACTCCCCACCTGTGACACCTGTGATTACATATCCTGATACTGGTCCGACTTCGATCTCATGTCCTGAACTAGTACCTGCATCTTCAGATCTTGTCTCTACATCTGATCTTGACCTCCTGATAGCACTACGTAAAGGTACACGGTCTTGTACTCATCCTATTTCCTCATTTGTGTCATACAGTCAGTTATCTCCTGCCTCATGTTCTTTTGTTGCTTCCATTGATTCTATTTCTGTTCCCAAATCTGTTAAAGAAGCTTTGTCTCATCCTGAATGGCGTCATGCCATGGTAGAGGAAATGAATGCTTTGGATCTTAATGGTACTTGGGATTTGGTATACTTGCCTTCAGGGAAGAAGTCTATTGGATGTAAGTGGGTCTTTGCTGTTAAGGTTAATCCAGATGGATCTGTTGCTCGATTGAAAGCTCGATTGGTTGCAAAGGGTTATGCTCAAACCTATGGTGTTGATTATTCTGACACTTTTTCTCCTGTTGCTAAATTAACATCTGTCAGGTTACTTATCTCACTCGCTGCAACTCATGATTGGCACTTACACCAGTTGGACATTAAAAATGCATTCTTACATGGTGACCTTCAGGAGGAAGTTTATATGGAGCAACCTCCGGGATTTGTTGATCAGGGGGAGTATGGGAAAGTTTGTCGACTTCGCAAATCTCTTTATGGTCTGAAACAGAGTCCTCGTGCATGGTTTGGGAAATTCAGTCAATCCATTGAACGGTTTGGAATGATAAAAGGTCAATCAGATCACTCTGTCTTTTACAGAAAAACGAAAGCAGGTATCACATTGCTTGTGGTGTATGTCGATGATATTGTGATTACAGGAAGTGATACCGCAGGTATTTTGGCCCTTAAGAATTTTCTTCATAGCCAATTCCAAACAAAAGACCTAGGCTCATTGAAATACTTTCTGGGTATTGAGGTAACACGGAGTAAGAAAGGCATATTTCTATCTCAGCGTAAATATGTACTTGATTTACTAACTGAAACAGGGAAATTGGGAGCAAAGCCAAACACAACTCCCATGGTTCCCAATGTGCAACTCACTTCAGAAGGCATACCATTCGAAGACCCAGAAAGGTACAGAAGATTGGTTGGAAAGCTTAACTATCTCGCAGTCACTCGTCCAGACATTGCTTACTCTGTGAGCGTAGTTGTAACACCCCGGCCCCACTGGACCCGAGGTAGTTACTCCGGACCAATAGTACTGTCCCCACAAACCGCCACTAGGCCTTTACTGCGCACTTTGTCCTCACTCATGCGCGCCCTGAGAAACTTCCCAGGGGGTCACCCATCCCAAGACTACTCCCGTGCAAGCACGCTTAACTTTGGAGTTCTTGGGTGATGAGCTCCCTTAAAAGGAGATGCACCTCTGTTGGTATGAGTAGTACTATTAATCCTCTTATATTAATCTCGGGTATTACAATCACCCCCACTTAGGATCGCAACGTCCTCGTTGCGCCCTTAAACCAATCTCAATCAAATCCCAGAATCTTTTTCCCCTGCTAAGTGTCTGCCCGATATCCAACGGATCAGTACACTGTCGCAGGGTTTCTCTGATACCACCTGTAACACCCCGGCCCCACTGGACCCGAGGTAGTTACTCCGGACCAATAGTACTGTCCCCACAAACCGCCACTAGGCCTTTACCGCGCACTTTGTCCTCACTCATGCGCGCCCTGAGAAACTTTCCAGGGGGTCACCCATCCCAAGACTACTCCCGTGCAAGCACGCTTAACTTTGGAGTTCTTGGGTGATGAGCTCCCTTAAAAGGAGATGCACCTCTGTTGGTATGAGTAGTACTATTAATCCTCTTATATTAATCTCGGGTATTACAGTAGTGAGTCAATATATGTCATCTCCGACAGTTGATCATTGGAATGCAGTAGAGCATATATTATGTTACTTGAAGGGGACACCAGGACGAGGTATTGTTTACCAAAATCATGATCACATGAGAATAGAATGCTTTGCAGATGCTGATTGGGCTGGATCTAAAGATGATAGGAGATCCACATCTGGCTATTGCGTCTTTGTTGGTGGTAATCTCGTCTCTTGGAAAAGTAAGAAGCAAAATGTGGTTTCTCGTTCGAGTGCTGAATCAGAATATCGGGCTATGGCACAATCGGCATGTGAGATAATCTGGATAAACCATTTGCTGAGTGAAATCAGATTGAAGACACCAATGCCTGCTAAACTCTGGTGTGATAACCAAGCTGCTATACACATTGCCAACAACCCAGTGTTTCATGAGAGAACAAAACATATTGAGGTCGATTGTCACTTTGTTCGAGAAAAGATACAACAAGGATTGATCTCTACAGGATATGTGAAGACTGGAGAGCAACTTGGAGATTTGTTCACTAAAGCATTAAATGGAATTCGTGTTGGTTATTTATGTAACAAGTTGGGCATGATAAATATCTATGCTCCAACTTGAGGGGGAGTGTGAAAGACATTAGAATATACTTTAGAATATACTTTAGAATATTCTTCTATCCTTAGAATATACTTTAGAATATTTTAGGAATATACTCTAGGATATTATTATTGTATAGAATCTTATAAGAATATTCTATCTTTGTAATGTATATTTATAAGGACTTAACCCTCCAATGAAATACACAGAAAATCTTTCCTCCTCTCTTCAATATTATATTTTGTAGTTTATATTTCAACAATCGGCACGATTATGGTGACCATATATAAGTGACTCCAAAACTACATTCATCAAGTGTGTGTCAAAATAAAAATAAAAATTCCCTCACATGCAGAGCCGGCTATAACGGCAGTTGACCCAGGCTTTTGCCTAGGGCCTCTGCTTCCAGGAGGGCCTCCAAAAATACGGAGTATTAGACCATTAATCATATCAGTTTTTAATTTTTAATTTTAAATGCTTTTAAATTAGAGTTGTCTGCAGCGGGTCCTGAACTCCAGCCACTGAACTCCGAACTCCAATAGCCGAACCATGTAACTTGACTATATGAGGTAAATATTACTCTTAAATCAAACTAATAAACTTGGGTTTATGAATAAAGATTAAAGTTACTGCTGTTAGCCACCTGCCACTTGGACGTAATATTGCTTATTTCGTTGAGTACTTGTGTTATATTGATATATGAAACGATTTGGTAAATACAATAAGTAATTTTAGCTTTAGTTTATTACATCGTTCCATCCAATAGAAATATTTATCTAGCTTTTAGTGGTTATAGTAAAGTAGTTATTTTGTTTAATTTATGATTTGTAAATTTAACCTTTTGTGGACTTGTCTATTTAAGATTTTTCTGTTAACAATATGAATGTATTCTAAAGATAGGAAGATAAAAATATAATTCTGGACATTCAATATTAAATTATAAATTCTGAAGAGATTTGCTCATAAAATTGTCATTTAAAGAGATTTGGATCACTATGTAAAGAGACCACTCCTCAAATATTGTTGTCAATGTTAATATATATGGAGTGGACCGGAATGAACTAGAAAGAATATTTTTGGAAATTACACCACATTTTTTACCTTAAAAATCAATGACATTTTTTAAATTTGGAATAGCCAAATTAATGCCTAGATTGGCTCAGCTCTCCCCTAAATTCGTCCATGATTACTTTGTATTAAGGATGAGAATGGACTATAGATCATCGTAATTACACTTTATTTATTAGTGATTTAAGTTTAAACTAGATAAAAAATATAGAAGACCGTATAAAAGAATTATATTTTTTTTTACTTTGTTGTTATACAAATTAAATCAATATATATATATATAAAAGAGGAACTTTTTAAGAGCATACAAAGTGCCACATTATTTAATTATATTTATACTTTCTATTTTTATTAGATTCTTTTTTTGATAGCATGTTGATATGGAAACAAAAGACTATATGGTCGAATTCCACCTATTACTTATTTGGTAATTATTAAATTCAGTAACCGTAACAATAAAAATTAATAACAAACCGTACACATAAATTATTTTTTACACGGAGTACTTTTTAGAAGTAGGGACTAAAAAATATGGAGTATGTAGTTATTTTAAACATCTTACTTTTTATTGCATTCTATTGAAGAAATGAAAAATATATTTTTTGCCCACTTAACAGATAAATCAGTAAAATTGTTACTACGTATTAAAAAATGCAATAAAGTGTCCCATTGCCTAAATATAATTTTTTATTTTTCTAAACTCAATGTTGAGATAACGATTAGTTATATACCCCAGATTGGCAATTGTGTTTATACTTCGTATTTTTTTGCATCTTCGTACAATTCTTTCTTAGTTATTAACATAATGATGAAAATTATAACTACCAGATTGTTGAAATTAAAAATGAAATTATACTATTTCAAATATAGAATTATTTTAAAAGAATACTTCTGACATCATACATATAAATATATATACTATTGTATATATTTTTTTCACAAGTACATATGTTTAGTCTAGCTAAAAAAGAAAATATGTTTGGTTATTTATTTACTTTTACAATTGCAATTTAAATATGCCTGCACTTTAATTTTATTCCTAATCCAAATTAGGAAATCTTTATATGTTTACAAATTCCTAATTTTATTCACACTCTTAGGATGTCTATAATTGGATTGATTCCAGTCTCAGACTGTATCAGATCAGATCAAACTTTAATAATAATATCAATAAGACACATACAATGTAAGACAAACATCTATCGAACCATACTACTTCAGACCAAATCAAACCCTAAAATTTTAATTCAATTAAAAAAGTCCTTATTAATGACGTTTTCAATGTTACGAAATCATGATTAAAATGTAAAAAACAACATTTTTTACATTTTCAATGTGACAGAATAATGAGTAAAATATAGGATCTCACTATCAAAATTTAAAAGTAAGCACTCCGTATATCCTACCAAGTTGAATGAGGAATATTAAAACAAATTGAGGTAAAGTAATTTAGAGGATGTGAGATTAATTAAGAAGTTTTTTTGAGAATTCTTTAAAATCAGGTTCATAACATTTATGGTTTAGTTGAGATGCTTATATAGAAGACCATTTTAATATTTTCTATAAAATCTTTTACTTATTTTTCAAAAGAAATATGTTTTTTTTTGCGTGGGTCGGGAGATTCTGTTTATTTATCTCATTCAGCCAGAATTTAATTTCAGCAAAATAAGTTGATTCGACCAATTTTAATATTATCAGATGGACTTTATATTTACACTGAGTTTATTTTCCTTTTGTGTCACATTATACCATAGTATATGATTCCAAAGAAAATACATTTAGAATTAACTAAATTGCGTGTTGCCCGTGGGATGCACGGCTTGAAAGCTAGTTAATAATATTTATGAAGTTTTCATAAATTCTAAAACCGGCCTTACTCTCATGTATTGTGGATAGGAAGTTTTCATCATTGTGTTGTTGCGGACTTGCGGCTATCGCAGATGGTATACTAGTACTTAAGGAAGTGAATCGTCTATTTATTGAGATTAAATGGATATTTTGTCTATATTCAGCCCCACCAGCTTATAGAAAGTATAAGAATTTTCCAGAGGTATGGGACAATTACTCGACAAGTTCAAACAGCAATATGGGTCAAACAAGAAAGTAATTCGTGTCTTCACAAAGTGCAGATCAACCGCTTGTGCAAATCTACGTTGCAGTGATACTTCACCCCGATGTCGTATCCGTGTATCCGATACGTATCTGATACCGATACTCACTAACTCACCGATGCGCGTCATGTACGTATTGGGTCCGTATCCGTAATTTAATAAAAGTATCGGGTTTATTTTTTAAAATCCCGATACTTCCGATACCCGTATCTGTAAACCGATACTCGTATCCGTGATCCTTTACGCGTATCCGCTCCTATAACCCTCATTTCGTAAGCAACATGACGAAAATTTAGTAGTCGACAAAGCGACCACAAGATGCGGATCATTGTTAAAAATGATTTCGGGAGTATGAAAAATAATGGAATACTATAATTTGTCATTTTATCGCTTGATGAAGTTTAATTGATGAATTTTAAATGCAAATAGAGAAAAAACTATTATTTAAATTTAAATCAAAATATCAGTACTTTAGATTTTCTAGCCTAATCTTTGAAATTTTATTATAATAGTTAATTTTTTGCACTGTAGTTATTCTATTTATGAATCCCTGAATTATATATATTTGCACATTAAACCCTATATTTTTATTTTTTATAAATATACCCTTGTACCCGTATCTTATAATTTTTGAAATTTTCGTATTGCCGTACACGTATCTGCGTATCCGTGCAACATAGGTGCAAATCTCTATATATCTTATAATAAATAAATAAAATCTTATAATTGACAATGAGGGTTAGGGTGTTTTAGGAATGGAAAAAATGTTGGTGTAATCATCTAGCTTTAAGAAATTGTACCATCTGTTTTACTATGTGTACTCTTTTAAAGAATTGATTTTCCCGTTTCCTTTCCTTCGCATAACTCCCATCTATTCTACCGTCTCTGTTATCTTCCCTTCAGACCCCAGGCCTCTTAAGACGCAGGTGGTCTCCCAACCAGGTATGCATTCCGTTTCTCCACTTTTTTCCCTTAGTGCTCCTCATCTTCTTCGTCATTAATAACAGATGAGTTCCACTGGTTACACTTTATATATGAATTCATCTTCCTGTCAAGGCTGCCTGCAAAGGACAACGAAATTTTCCGTCTTTCACTGGGATGAATTCATCTTTAATTCAAGGAATCCTAACATTCTAACAAGTGATACCATCCGGTGACCGGTATGACCAATAACTCAGAGAGGAGTTTCAGTGACAAGTTATGTTCTTCCATTTTTTCCCCAATGTCATTTTTCCAGTAGGAGTGGATTGCACTGTTACTTCATTTATGTTGTTTCAGTAGGATTTTGTCGTCTTTTTCAGTAGGAGTTTCATTGTTTTGCTTTACTGAAGCATACATGGAAGCAATCTTATGAGTTATGTGCTTGAATGGGGTTTTATGGATGTAGATGTGATTTAGGCTGTTTTTATACATCCTTTCATGTTATCTATCACCATAGATAAGGTGTGGAGAGTGGAGACTAAGGGAATATCTAAGGATACGTACATATAGCTTGAAAATAAATAATTATGTTTTGTAAATTTGATAAGAAAAGTAACTTAAAATTGAAATAGTTCAAGTGATCTTAATCTGATTTGGATAATAAATAATTATGGATTATCCCTTATGAGTGTAAAGTTAGACAAAAGTAACCTCCAGATGAGAAATGAGGCTTTAATTTTATCTATTCTTACACTTTATCTTTGTCCAGGATTGGAAGTTGGAACTAAGCTCAAACATTCAGGTATCCATAACAATATGACCACTTTTTTTTTACTTCGTAGCAAACCACCAGGATAGACGAGGGTTAGAGCTGAGGAACACTTATCTTATTTTATTAAAAGAGGGGAAAAAACGGGGAGGTATGGCCTCACCCAGAAGTACAAAACATGTGAGACATCACTAAAGGTAACATGGGACTGGAAATATCCGAATATGATAGCAGTTCATCCACCTTACTAATACTTAAATGCCATAAGGATAAAGAGACTTTATGATCCTTTATAAGTGACAAAATCTCCTTGATTGTTTGTATGTTGCCGTTACTTTTGGATGGCTTGTTAAGTAGAGTGAAAGCAGCAAAGGAATCTGTTTCAAGGACAAATCTTTTAAAACAACACTGAACACCCATTTGAGAATGATCATAATTCCGGACATATGATATTTCTTTTTTTTATATTTATAAATACGAATAGATTAAAGGATTACATGAAAGAAAATATAGTGGTAACAGGTAATAAACCTCTCCCATAAAATCTCCCACAATTTCTTCTTTTTATTATAACAGGCTATAGTGGTAATGAAACTCTCCCCAGATGCTCTGAACTGCTTGTGTGTGTTTCTGGAAAGGAAGACATTCAAGTGTTACAAATGCATAAAAATCTGAGTGTGCCTTGAATGCTTATTTCTAAGCCATTTACACGAGGATTAAACTCTCGCACGACCCCAAGTTGGGCAAAGTTGGAATTGACTCTGACTCTAAAGGTGAAATGAAACTTATAGATAGCAAGAGGGTGCTAACTAGCTTAAAACTATTTGTCATCTCAGAATAATGACTAACTAATATGACAACTCGGAGATTGTATACTTTTGTAGAAAGAGTAATGTTGCAGCAGACTCCTTCGCTTAACGCCTAAACAAAAAAAATTTAGTGAGGAACTGAGGACATACTGATACTTAGGTGGTAACTGCCTTAATTAAATTGTAGGGGAACATCTATATGGAAATGGAAGTTATTAATTGGCTGTTTTAAACATCTCCACAGCTGATTTTATCTCCTTCCAAGTTCCAACCCATCCAGATGCAACCCCTTGCCTGAATTTTGGGATCGATCATTATTACTTCACTCGCCCATTTTGATTTAGCTAGGTAGAGTTGTTTTTATTTCTTATGTAAATTGGATTAGGAAGTTGGATTGGAAGTAGGAGCTAGACTTAATAGTCTTTGACTTGGTCTAGCATGGCTCTTCCCCATTCGTTCTTTCTCTCGGTTCCTGCCACTGGTGATCGAAAGTAATTTGGCATGAAAAAGTTAACTTGGTTGTTTCAATGGGTTACGTTGAGCCCTCTCCGTGGGAAAGATTTATTAAAGATCAAATTAAATAACTTAATATATTTTGTACTGAACACCAAGTACTAAAACCCAAATTTTGTTCACATCATTGCCATTGTTGATAGAAAAACTTATTAAATAAATATTCATATTACACAAATAATATTGGGCACTAGCTCAAACGCGCAACGCACGTCACATCACAATAACTAGTAATTATATAAGCATGAATATTGTTAGGGGCATGATTGTCTTTAAAAAATGTCTGTGTCTCTCTTTGCATTAGCTGATTGTACGAAATGCATTTTGAGTTGAAGCTTTAAGCTGTTATGGCAAAGCAACGGGTCACGACGTTAACTTTCCCGTTGAAGTAACGGTTTTGCGTGGGTAAACTTTATTAGACTTTGAGCTCAATTAATAGTTTTATAATTTAATGGGATGAAAATAAATGCCGCTATGGCCAGATTCGGCTCCCTCAGAGTGCCGCTACCAGCGGGGAGAGACCATGCACCAGAGTCTACACCCACCAAACGAGATCTACAATGATAGGGCTTTCAAAGAAGGTCATGGCATGGCCTAAAAGAGATTTCAACACAGGTTAGTGAAAGCAAGCATCTTCATTTCTAAACGAAAACTAATACGGAGTACTATACATTTGAACATTCATTTCCTCCCAGACCTCGGTGCCCCCTCCCTCTTCTTTTTCCGTTGAAATAAGTCTGTCACGAAGCTCTGGTTTGGGTAAAGTCAAAAGTGACATCAGTGACGCGGCAGGTTCATGTTCTTATATCTGATATTTTAGACTATTCTTTGCTTCAATTGTTGAGTAAAGACTCTCAAGCGGTAGTATCTTTAATCGGATGGTTTCTTGACAAAATTATACTAACACAATTTTGTGATTTAGTCCCAACTTTCTTTTAAGAGCAGACTGTATGTTTTTGGTATTATCTTGCTCTTAATAATCTGGCTGGCTGTTACTAAATACAGAGTAATAATTTGCTTTCACACTTGGGTTAAAATACAATACATGAAGCATCCATAATAGCTTCAATTAGATACTTAGTTGTATTATTTCATCAGTTTTATATAAATTCTGGGATTCTAAGATTTCATTGTCCAACTATGTATTTTTTGTGTGACATATATACGGAGTATTCGATTACATGTTTCACTGTATACTATTGTGAGAATTCATTTTATGTTTTCTACTGTGTGATGTTTTAAATGAACTTTCTGGTTTCATTCCACGTTACTATGTACTACGTATGCAATAACTTTTCAGCAGGAAAACATAAAATGCCCAAATTGATACATGTGATTTCATTAAGCACCATGTTAGTATCGTTTTCCGATTTCCACCTTTTACAGATTAAATTAAGGTTCTATATACTACGTACTTTTAAAATCCTTCTTTAGGCTGCAGAGGTTGTTGGCAATTTGAGCTCCGCGTGTTTCATATGAAGGTAAGATAATTTTCCCCGTACCATTGTACCTATCTATAGCTTGTCTGTTGTTTTAGTTAAGTTTTTCAGCAGTCTTTCCTGCAAAAATAAATGAATAGCTTTATTAACTATTATCTTCTTTGCTTGATCATATGGTAATTGGTAAGCAATTCTTTTTTAAACTTTAATGATGTACATGAGTCGGGTTCAGTTAATAAAATAAAAATAGAACATTTATAATTAACAAAATTAAGTGTATTTTGTCGAGGTTAACTTTGTACCTCATATGTAACTATTGTGTTTAACCCTTTGATGCAGGAAAGTCATGATTGCTTTATTAAAAGATTCCTCATAAAAGGGAGGTACTGCAATAGTACTCTGTATAAACAATAAGATTCAGTTTGCATATGCAATGGGATTCAAGTTATTTTGAAAGGTCATGTAATACAATGTGGTATAACAATAAATAAATCTTTCTACAACAGTTCTTTTGTTCTCACCTCGTCATAACTTCTTAATTTTTTCATCAGTGCATGCTTTTCTTAGACCCATCACAGGCAAAGATGTAAATAATCAACCACTCAATGTGCACATCTCATGAACCATCTCCTGTGTGAAACCAGTAAAGTTTAACTCCTTTTTTTTGTTGCAACATGGAAAACTGGAATTCAACTCCTTTATATCATTTGTATATCCAAATTTATTATGAACCATGACAGAAAGGTGGTTGCGCAAAAAAAACTCCTTTATAACTAGATAGCTTACTCCGGGACAGCCAAAGGTAATCAAATCCGAATCCTCTATTATAACTACATTGACCTATTTCATATTACTCATATGTTCATTCAATCTAAACCGAGGACTTAATGCTAAACTAGTTACCGTATAATGACTATAATCTACATTTGCACATAGCATTTCATTTATGTCCACCAAAATAATACTTTCCATATTTAACTTTCAATTGTTTTATTTCAAACAGAGCCTAAATGCTAAGCCTAATAAGTCCAGACAAAATCAATGGGAATCGAACACGCGTCCTTCTGATTTAATCAGAGTTGCAGAGCTCACGCAACACCACTAGGCTACCCCGGGCATTTGTTACACGAGAGCTTTTTGCAATATTTAAATTACACTCTGTATATTCTTAAGTACCATAGAACATTTTCTTTTAATCATATATTATTCGTTATTAAATTGTCATCAAATACTTTAGACTTTAGTTATTATAAAGTTTGTTTAGGTTTATTTTATTATTTCTCAAATTTAGTACTCCGTATCTTATGTAATTTTTTAATTATTTCAAAACGAAGACATATTTATCTCTAAAGGAGCGAGTAATTAATGGGTAAATATGTGCACTCTTGGACTTTAGATCTTTGAATTTTAAATTTCACTAACATTTTACAGGTAACAATTAGCTCAAATTCAAGCATCGTGTTTGAATTCGTATCAAGAAAAATTTTATGAGAAAAAATTGAATCATAGCCGAGCAGAGTTGAGCTGCTATACAGAAACTTTTAAGAGAAAAAAAATTACTAAATCCTATTTAACTAGTGTATATTAAGTTATAATTTTAAATTAAGTTATACAAGTATTAGTTTGGAAGTTTAAATTAAATTTGAAATCTATTCTTAAATTATTTTGTTATTTTTTGTAGTGTAGAGGAACCACCACACTACATCAATCAACTGTTATATCATTGCTTCTTAAATTAAGTTTTTATTCATTAATTAAATATCACAAATTAACTTTGTCTTATTATAATTTTTAATTAGGCTTCTATTTAAAATTTAATATTTCTAATTAAGTGTTTTTTTTAATTGTTTGTGAAAGAAGTAAAATACTTGAACAAGTAATATATATTATGATTTATATACACCGAATTAGTGCTGGACTCGGGCCGGTCGGCCCGACCCGGGACCGAACTGGCCCGGTTACTGTAGGCCTGGCCCGAGGCCCGGCCCGGTGGGTCCGGTTCGCCGGCCCGGCCCGAACCGGCTGCTGGGCGGTCCGCGCTCGGACCCTTGATTTTGTGAACCGGCCCGGCCGGTTTGGGCCCAGTCCGGGCCGGAATATATTTTTTTTTTTGAATTTTTTTTAAGTTTTAGGTTGGAATAGGTGTTTTGGGCCATTTGAGGTGGTTTGGGGTTGAGGGGGAGGGGTAGGGGGTTAAATAGGAGAAGAAAAAAAAAGTTTCGGTTAGGCCCGGCCCGGCCCAGCCCGGTTTGGCCCGGAACCGGAACCGGAACCGCCCACCGGCGGTCCGGGCCCGGGCCTCAGTTTTCTGGCCCGAGGCCCGGCCAGGCTCAGGCCCGAACCGGCCCGAGGCCAGGCCTACACCGTATGAGTTAATTATTGCAAATAGCTACCATGTAAGATTTGCTCTAGGTAGCCTTGTGGTGTTGCGTCTGAATTTTGTCCCATCCCCAGGTGGCGGGTTCAATTCCTGTCTCCGCAACTTTTCCTACATTTTTGAAAAAGCCTTTTAAAACTAGGGAAAACTGTCAAATAGGTCCTCGAACTTTCATAAAAAAATCAATTAAGTCCTTCTATAGGAGACTCTGTCCGACCGTCGCGATTTGAGGCGGTTGCTGGTGGAATTTTTTGATGAATTTTTTTGAGTATCTTATTCATCAAGTGTAGTTTACTCGTACCAAATTTGAGCTAAAAATTCAATCCGGAACACATTCAAATTAATTGTTGAAGATGACTGCCCATTTTTGCGTTCTCGGTTTAATTTGAATGCATTCCCAATTGAATTTTTAGCTGAAATTTGGTATGAGTAAACTAGACTTGATGAATATGATGCTAAAAAAATTCATCAAAAAATTCCAATAGGAATCGCCCCAAATCGCGACGGCCAGACAGAGTCTCCTATAGAAGGACTCAATTGACTTTTTTCTGAAAGTTCGAGGACCTATTTGACGGTTTTCCCTTAAAACTATTAAAATAAGATGATATGGAATTAGCAGATGACATGTATCAGTTGATGTGGCTACTCACGGTCAAAATGAGATGACAAGGCAAAAGCCTTTTAAAACTATTAAAATAAGATGACATGGAATTAGCAGATGACATGGACCAGTTGATGTGGCTACTCACGGTCAAAATGAGATGACATGACAAAAGTACCCTAATTTAGAAAATAAGTTTAAAAAATATCCCAATTTGAGAAATAAGATTGAGAAATATCCCTCATTGGGAAAAAACTCAAAGATAATGGCATATGAATCACATTTGCGATTTGGGAGAAATTTAATGAGACACACGACGCACATCAACACTGATATGAATAAGGGCAACATACCAAAGAAGGAATGATAAGAACCAAGACCAAATCATATACTCCCTCCGTCACTCTTATATTGTCCCGTTTTACTTTTTCGAGAAGTCCCACTAAAATTGTCTCATACCATAATGCGTCACTTTTGCTGCTAGTCTTCTATCTAAGAAGGATGTTGTGTCGTATGCGTGGATTTTTACTCGCTTCCTCAATGCCATGCATCGTGAACCTAATTGCATAGTTACTTATCAAGATCCTGCTATGCGTATTGCCATCAAGAATGTTTTCACTCATGCACGTCACAGATATTGTATGTGACATATTATGAAAAAAGTTACTTCAAAGTTACTCCAGGATCAATTCTGTTGTTTGGTGACTGGTGTCATTCAAGATTTCTATGGGTCATCTGCACAATCTGAAGTGACTATTCTTGCTCCTCAAGTTTCCAAGAATAAGTGCCCCGGTCAGCGAATTAAAGGTGCCAAGGAGGTTGTCATTGATGAAAATAAATGATCAAAGAGGTTGTGTCGTGCATGTAATCAAATGAGTAATGACGAAAACAGAAATTGTTCAAGTTTTAAAGGCTATTAGACAGTGGTTTGTTATATTTGTGTGAAGCTTTTATTTCAAAATTGTTCAAGTTCATTAACTTTTGTCCTAAATTGTATCCCTATTATTGATCTATGCAATGCTACTTTTTGTAATCCAGTTGCACACTTAGAATCTGGTATACAATGTCTCATTTCGTTGATTAGTCTCTTTTTTGGGTATTCACATACATTTTATGCTATACTCACTTTTATCTCACTTTGCTTTCACAGGCCACCCATGTATTTTAGATGTGAATGTCATTTGTAATTATAAACAACTTATATCGACATTTACATCTGACATTATTCATCCAAATTCTATTGCTTTTATTGTTGTATTTACTGATACTCTAATTAATCCAATTGCATACTTACGTTCTGGTAATCAATGTCTCATATCATTCACCGATCCCCTTGTTATGTATAAAATATATAGAGTACATGTTATCATTTAGTCATTTTTGTCTCAATTTACTTTGACAGGCCACCCACACATTTTACATGTCAATGTAAAACAACAGCTTATATCAACATTTAAATTTTATCTATTCATCCAAATTCTATTTCTTTTATTCATCTATTTAATGCCGATCTTTCTATTCCAAGTGCATACTTACATTCTGTTATACAATGTATGATATCATATTATCATTCAATAATCACATTTTGGTATAAACCAACAAGTTATCCTTGACTCACTTTCGTCTCAGATTACTTACACAGACCACTCACACATTTTACATGTGACTATCATTTCAAAATGTAAAACTTCAACATATATTAACATTTCAACTTTACCTATAAATCTTGTTACCTACACCCAACATCACTTTACAGTTTCAAGTAACTCCATTTTAAACACAAAGTTTCAAGTAACACCATTTTAACCACAAAGTTTTGTAAACTAAATGACACATATCAACCAAACATATCTCTGAATCCATCACAAATTCAAGTCAAATTTTCCACACATTTAAAACAAATAGCCTTCCCTTTCTTCTCATTTTCTTCCTTGCCCTTTGCATACTCCTTGCTTGTTTAAGGTTTTCCATTTTCCTTTCATTTATATCTGCTAGCAGTATCAGCTGCATACTTCACTCTAAGCGCGCCTATATGCTTTCTGTCATTCTTTTTTAGCCCAGTCTACCAACCTTGGATTCATTACTTTTAGAATATTCGATTAATTTTTCAAAAGTTTCATTACCATGTTCACCACTTCATGTGCACCTATTGCATCTTCTTCTGCACGCATTCCCTGTCAGGGACGGATCAAGGATTTCGAGTCAAGGGGGGCGAAATTTTTTGTTAATGTAGGGGTGAAAAAAAATTCGTTAGTGTAGTGAGGCGATTTTTTCCCTAAAGTAGCGGGGCGATTTTTTGCGCTACTGTAGGTCGGGCTATGCGGCTATTTTCATTCAAAAAAATGACATTAAATCTATTACATTCTAAGTTTAGACGATGACAAAGACATCAATGAATACATTTTTAATAACTTCTACATTGTTTAACCTCATGAATCGGTTATTGAATTGTAATTTTTGTCCACCAAGAAAGATGTTCGTGAGTCATGACTCATGAGAAGTTTTCTTAACATTACAATAGTAGTATGTATGGGATTATTATTTTTAGAATAATATATACGCACCACATACACACACACACACATATGGTGCATATTATGTTTTAATATTTGTATTAATGCTATAATCATTAGTTTATTATCTATGCAATAAATTATTTTAAAACGTAAGAAGTAAATGAATTATGTAATTTAATGTCAATAAACATTTATATTTTGGATTCCTATCTAAAAACTGTATAATTAGTGTGTCTGACATTTAAATCCAGTACTTGTTATCTAATAAAGATAATTAAACATTACAAAACTGGGAATTCCTATGTAATAAGTAATTAATAAGTATCCTAAATCTTATTGTAAAAAAAAGTATCCTAAATCGTAAACAATGAGTTATTCTATTGTTTATTTTTTTTAAGTTATGTAAATTATTTTAGATGTTCCTTCTTTTAAATCTCTAGTAAAGTATTACATTATGTAAGACTATATATTAATTTTGAAAATTAAAAGCTAAGGGGGGCAAATCTAATTAAATTAGAAAAGTTTTATGAAAATATTACGTATATGGTAGAAAATTTTGAAAGTCTAAGGGGGCAGTTGCCCCCTGCACCCCTAAATCCATCCCTATTCCCTGTGACATCGCATTATTGTTCGGCACCTCGGTGTTTTGTGTTTCTTGGGTCATCCCTAAACTGAAACATGGCGTGTCACTGATTATCTTTTTGTACTCTGCCCTTTTCCTCATTGCATTTATAACGTTTTCAATTGCCAAGATATTGAGTGGGTTCGACCAAAACTCATCATCCTCTATCTGAGCTCCTAAAATTAGTTGTCCTTTTGTCTGGACTAAGCTCACTCGTCAGCCCTAAAATACCCCTTGCAGCTACTTGCATCTTTTGAAAATTTTCATTTCTAATTACAGCT